TTTTCTCTCTCTTCTTCTTCTTCTTCTCTTTCTCTCCTTCAAGTCAGCCAACTTAGTCGCTCTTTAGACTCAATTCGTTCGCTCAGGTCCTGGCCTCGCTACGCTCTAATAAAATACAATACCCTTAATCCTGCTTATACCCAGGTCTCTCCAGATCTATACTCTTGATACCACCAACAACACTACCAAAAACAACATCAACAAGTCAAGATGAAGCTCACTCTCGTCGTTGCTGCCCTCGCGGCCGCCGTCTCTGCCGTCACTCCTCCAAACTACAGCCAGTCTCCCTCCGGCAACCCCATCGCTTCCCCGGGCCTCCACGAGCGCGTCCCTGTCAGCAAGCCCTACACCATCACCTGGCAGGCAACCACCTCGAGCCACGTCTCCATCATGCTCCTCCACGGCTGCCCCAAGAACTGCGAACCAGTTGCAACGCTTGCGGAGAACATCCCCAACTCCGGCCACCACTCCTGGACTCCTAGCTCTGATCTCACCGGTGACGATAGCTACGGCCTCATGATTGTCGTCGAGGGCACCGGCCAGTACCAGTACAGCACCAACTTCGGCATCGAGAACCACAGCCCCAAGCCACAGCCACCAAAGTCCACCACGCCAGCCGAGAAGCCTACCTGGACTCCCCAGCCCTCCAAGCCAGTCACCCATATCATCGAGACCTCCAGCACTCCCGTCCCCTCCGGCGGCGTCATCACTCTCACCACCTCCATCTGCCCTCCATCCGGCACCGCCGTCCCCGGTGTGCCCCATCCAACCGGCAGCGTGCCTGTCCCCGGCACTCCTCACCCAACCGGCGGCAACCCAGGCCCAGCTCCAGCTCCATCTGGCTCTGGTGCTCCCATGCCACCACCAGCCTCGACCAACACCCCTCCACCATTCAACAACGGTGCCGGCCGCGTCGGCGCTGGTCTCGGTGCCGCTCTCCTCGTTGTCGCCGCTGCTTTTGCCATGTAAAGAGAAATTGCTCCGTTTTCTTTTCTCTCTTCGATAAATATGTATTAGACATACCAAGATCAGCCTCATGAACCGTGCGATGATATCTCTCTCCTACTACAACTAACTACAACTACTACTTTTCTCCCATTTCTCTTCATTCATCTAACTATTACTCTTCTTCTCTACGCTGCTCCTAAGAGCGCGCCCTTTTTTTTTACACCGTATCTAGCACAGCTTGACTGTCCTTTATCTACGCTTCTTTCATACCTCTTCCGCTCCTCACGATGGACTGCACAAAAGCCTGCTTTCCTTGTTCTTTTCCTCGCTCATGTCTTCCTCGCCCGTATGTATGTAAATACTAATACCTACTATACTTCTATCTCTTAACCCGCTTCATTGTCTTTTGCTTCTCGCTTCCCAGGTCTTCCCTGCAGATACCAGATCGGCTATAGGGCTAATCTCCCTCTCCGTTTCATTGCATCCAACGGCTTCCTGCCTGGCCTTGCTTCATCCTGCGCCCTACATACATACTCTTACACCCTGCGTCGGCCCTTTCAACGCCACCGTCGCACAACCCACGAGACAACAACTCTTGAATTAAGCTTATCGCTGACATAACCTTAACCTTAGCCCCCTCAAGCCATCCCCAAGCCCCCTTTTCTTGCAGCGTACTTACATGTACTCCGTCCAGTGATGTTCATTTCGTCATCCAACAATCGCTGCCCTAGCTCCTGTCGATCGCGCCGATCTCAAAACACCCTCGTCCTCTCCCTTTCCTCACCCGCACTAAAACTGTCGGATCTTCTCCCGCCGTTCAGCTTGTCAGCGCAAGGCTGTCTCCATATATACCACCACAAGTATGTAAGTGCTCCTTGTCCTGCTGCGGCCGCGGGCGGGTCGACTCGAGCGGGAAATACTTACGGTATGGAGAAGCGCGTTGATCGGGATAGACAACTATCGTTTCATTCCTTTGTTGCTCGTATACACAGCTCTCCTTTCTCACTGACTTGCTGATGACTTACGCCGTAAGACAGCGTAAGCGTTTGTCTTTACCCCCGTTTGTAAATATGTCCCCGTTTGTCACTGAGCGACGCCAGGTAAATGAAGCTCACAGGCTGAAACCGCTTAGACGATACGTTAGTAGCCCGGCGCGACTTGGCTTTATTTCGTTTCTGCACACTGGTGTGCCTGGAATCACCCCCTTGCGTCCGTCCCACCTGCGGTACTTACCCGAGTATCTACTTACTTGCTTACCCCGTATCCGCCCGCCAGCTGAGGTCATGTCTTTTCCAGCCCGACATCCACTCGTTGCTTGGCTGGGGATAGCTAAACTGGCGCACGGCTACCAGGCGGCCTTGGGACGGAGATGAAAGTGTCGATTACAATTTCAATCGGCGGTGTCGACCCTCTACCTAGAAAACTGGTTAGTAAGGGTTCGGATACTGATGTCTGTTCCGTCGTCTTTGGTTAGCGCCGCTTCATCGCCTGCAGGGTGAGATGAGATGAGGGTGGCTGTGATTCTGCGACGAAGTATTGTCTAATAATAATAATTAATGTCGACTGATGACTGATCCATTCCCTTGAGACAGCGGCTTCTGTGCTGTGCGATGACATCGTGTGCCTGCATGAATAGGGAACCCGACCAGAGATAAAACATGGCGCGAAAAAAAGATTCTGTCTGTCGGCTGTCCTGCCCCCCGTCTGGCGTTCTGAAGGGTTTGTTGTGCGATTCTCGAAGGGTATCCCTGATACCGTTAAATTATCGGACCGGCCGCCGGTTGGAGGCCCGTTGGCTAGTGCGACACTTCGTGCGCCCTCCCATAACAGTTAACTAACAGAAGGCATTCTCTCGACTACCTCATCAAGCTACTTGTTCAACCAACAGTTATTCGCATTCCATCCAGCTGCTGCCCCCTATTATCAACATCGCAAAAGCTGCCCGCTGAAAGCTCGAGGCTTCACCACGCCGTCCTTATGGATGCGAGGGTTGAGTTTGTTGAAGCGTAAGCTTACCACGCTCACCATCGCATCGCTTGCCGGCTCGACTTCCTACCGCCATTCACAAGTGAGAACGAAACCACTTGCAACACCCGCGACGTATCAAGATCAAGCTCTGCCAAGGAAATTTCGCCACACTTTGCTTGCGTCAAAACTCAAAAGGCGCCACGATGGTCACATGATCTAAGCGCCGGTCCCGTGGATCCCATGGGCAAAAGGATTGCCGGGCCCCTTTGCAAGAATTGCCTTTCTATCATCTTTTGCGATGCAGTCAGGGGTTCGTTCTTCTCACTCATGGCGTCGTCTTCCGTCACATAGCCACCCAACATGGACGCGCAGACTCATCAGCATCCGACATCTGCAGCCCGAAAGTATCGCCGGCGCACCGTCGCCGTCAGCCTCGTTTTAGCGCTGGTGTTACTTTGGTGCCAACTGCGCGGCTATCCCAGTCCATTTACCGCCCCTGCCAGCTGCCAGCATCATGCAGCAAACCCCGGATGCCAATGGAATCACAAGCGAGATGCCAACACTCTTGTGCTCGGCGCTGAGCGATGTCAGTCGGCTTTTCCAGGCCTCTTCGCGGAGATTGATCGCGCGAAACAAGAGCGGGCGCAGCGCCCTATAAGCCTCGCAGAAATCGATTCCGTCGTGCCCAAAAACGGATACATCCGTGCGATGATTTATGACCAACAAGTAAGTGTCACTTTGTTCAACAGCCGAAAATATAATCGTATCTTCATAGACGAATCGAGACTAACAAGGACCCTGTTTTAGCTCTATGTTATCGCTGTAAATGGAACTATATACTCCCGGGAAATTGCGACGCTGCACGCTCTACACCGAGCAATCGTCTCCTCTCCCGACCCGCTCCCAAATATAGAATTCGTTTTCAACACCGACGATAAAGTTGATCCAGTTGCGCAGTGGGGTTACGCCCGGCGCGAACAAGATACAAACCTTTGGCTTATGCCTGATTTCGGATACTGGTCCTGGCCCGAGACAAAAGTTGGAACAATGCAAGAAGTTCAAATGGGGGCCGAGCGGGAAGAACACACCTGGGCCTGGCCGAAGAAAATCCCGCAGCTATTCTGGAGAGGAGCCACCATGGACCTGGAGGTCCGTGAGAGGCTTATTCAAGTCACCAGGGACCAGCCATGGGCGGACGTCAAGCCAATAACATGGCGTGATAACGACAGTATGCAGAACGATTTGAGATCAATGCCTGAACACTGCCGGTTTAAGTATCTTGCTCAGACCGAAGGAAACAGCTACTCCGGGCGCTTAAAGTATCTCCAGAGCTGCAACTCGGTCGTCATTTCTCACAGTCTCGAGTGGATCCAGCACCAGTCTCCTCTCATGAAGAGCTCGGGCCCAGACCAGAACTATGTAGAGGTGCGGAGGGACTGGTCAGACCTACCTGAGAAGATCGAGTGGCTTGAAGGGCACGAGCAGGACGCAAAGCGGATTGCACGAAATAATATCAAGACATTCCGAGAACAGTATCTTACACCCGCTGCGGAAGTTTGCTACTGGAGGCAGCTTATACGCTCTTGGGCAGAGGTGAGCTTTGAACCGGAATTTTTCAAGGAAGCTGATGGTAAAAAGGCCTGGCGAGGAGTGCCCGTTGAATCTTTCCTATTAATGCAACGACTGGAATGGGATCCTTATTGACTGGATGTGCTATGAGTGTATTATAGAACCGCTTAGACCTTACTTTTTTTTTCTTGTTTCCCTCTGATGGATTGGACATGGACATTGGTATATATGGCATTGGGATATATCAGTTAATTTATAACGCTATTTAATATATGGTGGTAGATATGACTCAACTTGGATAGATTGTGAATCTTAAGGGAAGAAAATGTCACTGCAACGAACAATTAGCCAAAGGTAATGGCAAATACGTTTAAAGGCGTTACCAGCCCCAATGTTTCTTACAGTTAAGACGATGTCCCTGGGAAGCTTGCAGATTCGGTGGAAGCTGGATACATGCTATTTCGGATGAAGTATTCTTCACCTTTGCGCGTAAAGATGGGCAACCTCTGGAGCGGCTACGTTGAAGATGTTCAAAGTAGCTCTGGTTTCCATCAGGCCAATAATGCGGCGAATGGACAGGAACCATTATCTGGAGGTTCGGCGATTGGGGGGTGGCTAGGATAGGACTGGGGAACGAAGTATCTCAGCCCCTGTTCGCCGTAGGGCCTATAGCAACACCCTCTATGGAGCAGCTCTTGCTGTTGATCTGGGCTTGGCTGCAGGAGCCTCAGCTCGAGCAGGCAGCGGAAGCCACAGTTCTCCTCCCATGACGGCCAGGGAACAGAATCGCATCTGGCTGACGGTCGCCTGATCGACCGTGTCGACTCCTCCGTGCCTGGGTACCTGGGGATCTCCCGGGTCGGCCCTGTCAGAAGCTTGTGGTTTCAACCTCTCGCTCACTGTGTAGCCTGTAGGGCAGATGAATATATTGGTATTACTATATTATTATTAGCTCCTGTCTTTTATTGCTGACCAGCGACTCTGGCCTTTACCGTCCTTGTGATAGCGCCTGACACCTGCAGGGCTCCTAGTGATTCATACCAGCCACGTCAGCTCGCGCCGTTGGACGCCGTGCTGATTGGCAGAGTCACTCTGTGGCGTAGGGGCTGGCTCTGTCCTACATAGCTAGCTCGCAGTCTGTGCCGGGGAGAAGGTGAGCTGAGCAGGACACTCCATCCAGCCTCTGTCTGCTCGCTATTTAAAGCCAGGCCCCGGGCGCGCACTTCTGTCTAGTCATCTCTCGCTTTCGCCAGCCCGCAACAGGAACCTCGCCAATAAACCACTTTGATACTCGGTACTCTCGTTAAAACGGCCAGCAAAGATGTCCAGCGCCGGATACTATCAGAACCAGCCACAGCAGAGGTACGGTGCCCTCGCCTCCTTCGTATAGGCCATCGCGTTATGCATGTACATCGCATGGCCAAGAAGACATGACCGCATCTCATTTCCTTTCCTTGAGCGATGGGCGATGGCAACTGACTGACTGACCGATCACAGCTACAACGGCGGCTATCCTCCTCAGGGCCCCCCACAGGGCGGTCCCCCTCCTGTGCGTATAACGCTGTCGTTATCCCGTCGCCGTGCAACTTCGTCAGGTGCAACTCAGTTAGTGGGGGGAGTTGGAAGCGCTGACTTTTGATATGCCCATAGATGCAATACCAGCAGGCACCGCCGCCGGTTATAGTAGAGGAGAAGAAGGATAGGGGATGTCTCTACACATGGTACGTGCACTCATCATTTCCTCAGCGGCTTCAGCTGTAACTATCAAGAGAAACTGACGTTTACGATTCCCAAGTCTCGCGACGCTCTGCTGCTGCTGGCTCTGTGGAGAATCGTGCGAGTGCTGCTGTGATATATGCTGCTAAACACACAAACACATGTATCACCCTCCTGATCGTTGCAGCATCGCTTGACGGGCTCCCCTTCCTGTTTCCCTCTTCTGTTTGATAATGATCACCTCCCCCAGAATATGACTGATGCTATGTGAATATCGTGTTCCAGCTTTCAGCGAAGACTTCCAGCAGCCCTCTCCCCAATCTTTAGCGGTATGTGGCTGTCCTGGTCACTCCTCAGTGTAAAAAAAAAAAAAAAAAAAAAAAAAAAAAAAAAAAAAAAAGAATCTATTATTTACTTATCCAGGACCGAGCTAGTCTAATGTAATCTGTCGCCCATTAACACGAATTCGGTTGCTCTCCTTTTACAAAGCACGGAGATGCATCACAGATGGTCAACTGTTTGCGATAGGGCGTTGTACAAAAGAGGGTAGGGAAAAAAAAAATAAGCGGGGAGAAAAAAAAGGAAAAAGGAAGGGAGCGTCATCAATCATTAGGGTGTTGTTGCAGGTGAATGAATGTCAGTCAAGGCCGTTGTCAAATGCTTCGTCATCTCTGGGGAGAGCACTTGGGCTGAGAACTGATAAACTGGTGCGTATAGCTCGGTATTTGGGCGACGATTGGTAAACCTCAGATTCTGTCATTATGTCGGCGTCAGGGTTAGATCTGATATCGCTTTCTGGTGGTGGACAAGCACATGTTAGTGTGCTTGGCCCGTCACGGATAGCAAGACCTATGGCCAACACAAGAGTGAAAGAGAACTTGAGCCATTCCTGGATGGCTGGCGTATAGTCGGAAGGGAGTGATGTTGCAGTACCCGGTCGATGGTGGACACTGACAGGGGTTGATGGCTCTTGATCCGCCGTCCGGGCGTCCTCGCTGCGTCCCAGACACCTAGCACTTCGAACCATAGAATACCTGACCCATTGGTTCCGTGTATGTGTACCAAGCAACAGACCGAGGAACCACCAGGATATACCACCTAGACGGCGCCAGTTGGAATGCCATGCGTTGGACAAGATGCGGCAGGCCAGTGTTCGTACGTTAGACAGTAGCTGTGGGACTTGTAGATGTAACTTTTCAAGCCATGATAGGGAAGCATGGTGTTGTCTGGCTGAAATTATGCGGTTAATGGGGCTCATACCGATGCGTAAAGTCGATATCTGGCGGCTGCGGTTGCGGCGTCGTCTGACCGTACCTCCTCCTTCATAGCTTATTGCTTCACTTCCTGGCGAGCGGCTTTTACTTGCGGCAAACGGACTATATCCAAACTCTTCCGTGTCGTCAAATGATAAGTCGTGGCCCGCCATTGCTTCTTCAAAGGACTGATAATTCGCTACATTACCCTCCAGCGAGTCAAGTGCATCTGTCCTCGCCGCATCAGTGTCAGCATCATCTCCATCTGTCTCGTCGTCATATAACGACTCGCCATAGCCTGATCCGGCCTTTGTACTATCGTAGCGTCGAAAAATCCCGTGCCCAGACGTGGCTGTTGTATAGGACCCAGGCGACGCGGATGGATTTACAGGCGGAGCGTACGGCGAGAGGGCAGCGGATGCAGTTGGTAAGACAAGCGGTTTCAATGTACAGCAGCCAGAAGGGAAACGGCGCATCTTTCGCTTTCGATACTGGAGTTTCCCCTGTAGTTGGAGTTCTGGTGATAACGGGAGCGATGTTGCTGACCCAGGGCCAGAATGGCTAGATAGAAGGGAGGTTCTCTGGGAATGCGACGGACCGGAATCGAAGCCCGAGTCAACAGATGCTAGCTCAAAGACACGAGAGTCTTCATCTCCCGAAGCCCTCTTGCATGGGTCAGATAACGAAGCGTCCGGCTCGCTGGTGGGATGGAAAAGAGGCTGTCGAACCGGTGACAAGGGTATCTTGGTAAATATCGACTTGGGCCTAGGTGTACGGCACATACTACCATCTCCGCCGTGTATTGAGGAAGCACCGTCTGCTGCTGAAGCTGGTGGGGGAGGGGGCAGTTCTATTCTGCCAGGCGACTGAGCAAGCAACTCAGTCAGCACATCAACTCGGCGCTCCAGACAGCGGTTCGTAGCAGTAACAGCTTCCAGTGTCCGCCGGTTCTGCGCTTCTTTCTCAACCTCCCATTCGAGCTCTCTAATCTTGTTGTCTTTGACTTCTACTTCACGCTCCAGCGCTCGTATGCGTATCTTCAGTTGAGCTTCTCGTTCTGCGACCACTGCTTCTTCGTCCCGTACTCGAGCTTCAAACTTCTCCTCCCATTCGGTCAGTTCCTGCCTTAGGATCCTGTACTCGGTCTTTAATGCCTTGTATCGGGCAGCATGTGTCTTTGCATCGGCCAACTCAGCATCCTGGAGCGTGGCCGCGAGCTGGTTCTCAAGATGCTCGATGTATTGAGATGCATCACGACGGCCGTCTCGATTCCGCTCTTTTGGTCTTTTTATTCGGTCAAGGCTTGTGAAAGGATTACTTTTCTGCGACGATATCGACGCTTTCCTCGTGGAATGCAGTTGCATTTTCTCTTCCCAGTCGAGATCCAGCTCTAGTTCGTGGGTTTGAGTGTCCTGAGCCTGATCCTGGTCCTCAACGCAAGCTTTGGGCCGGCCAAATGATGCAGACCATGGAGGCGAGTCCGGCTGCGATTGAAATATGGATGTCACGGGTACACGGGAGGTATGCTGAGATCGCCTTCGCTGAGTAGAGTTCCCCAATTCTCTCAATATACTCGATCGTCTGCTGTGCGGGCCCCTGGAAAAGCTACTGGCAGTTGTTGTATGAAATCCCTCATAGGCCCAGTCGTTTTCTTTGTCGTCGTCTTCACTGCCGTCCAGTGTACTCCTCCATGTCTCGGCCTGGGATTGTGGAGGGCTCACCTGTCTGGACGAAGACGCAGTAGCAGGCGTTGAAGTAGATGCAGAAGCCGAGGCAAGCAACGCACCCCTAAACCGAGCGTTACGAAGCTGCAGCCGACGGTTCTGGGTATTGAACGGGGGCGAGGGACTCAGGGTCGGCGATCTGCTGCGGAACGGGCTGATGCTATTGTTATACTCGTTATTCTCGCTGTTCTTTGCTGGTCGACGGGGAAAGGAAGAAAAGTACCTCGACCTCGACGAAGAGCCCCCTATCTCTGGGTGTGTGTCCATCTTTCGGCACTGTTAATGAATAATATAGGCAGCAAGTCCGGCCAGTCTCCATCACCCCCCCGGCTGGTACTACTACCCATATACAGCCAAGTCGCCCGATTGGCCCGGAGCCGCAAGTCAGCTGGGAAACCAAACAGCAGCACGCAAGATGCCGAGGGAGAGGTGAAAAAAAAAAGGGGGGCGAAACGGCAACCTTCTGGAGAAAGGGTTGAGAGGAAGAAGAGAGAGGGAAATGAGAGTCAAGTCATGGCAGACGTTCTGCTGCGAGACTAGCCCTTAAGTTGGATGGATCTATTTGTTTTGCTCCCTCCACTTTTTGTTTCTTCTTCCTCGCCGTCACTTTTGCTCACATTCTGGATGTCGTTTTTTCTTTTTTTCTACTTACGGAAGTTTGTTTACTTTACGGATGTTTCAGTCAGATGAGTCAGCAGTCATGTGAGAGAGATAAGATGAACTGATAAGATGAGAAAAATCATAACACTGAACCGCGGTAGGTGATGGGATGGATAGTGTGTTCAGAGTGAAAAATGTATTTACACTGAGCAGTGGCAGAGTGGCAGGCAACTGTGAAACCTGCAGATGTGCCGGGTTCCGTTATCCATGGTGGTACAGGGGCAGGACAATGGGGCAGTAGTGGTCTCGATGCCAGCGCTCCGTCATACCGAGGGGGATGATTTATGCCTGGTTATGCTCATCCCTGCGTGTGGATATCGAACACGCTCAACCAGCTTTCAGGGGGCTTCTCGCTCCTCTGGATTCTTGGTTGTCAGGAGAGAAGGGAGGGCAGCAGCATACGTGACGAGCAGACTCATGTCCTTGACTTCTTTTCTCGCAATACCTTCAGTCCCTTGATTCCTCCTGAACCCTAAGGTTTAGCTCTGACGCTACCCCAAGTCCTACTAGAAAACATGGAAGAGGCAGGGGAAGAGGGAGAGGTACGCGGTGGTAAGGGAAGTAGTTAGATTCTGTGCAAGGGTACGTACAAGCTCTGGCTGAATATCTTATTGGCTGTGGTGTCCGCAGCACTACTTCAGTTGCTGCTTGTCGTTAGCCTTTCTCTGGGCTTCTTCCTTAGCCTCCTGCTCCTTACGGTGTTTCTCCACATCCTCCTTTGCCTTCTTCGTAGAGTCTTCCTCTTTTTTATGTTCCTCGACTTCCTCCTTCTGCTTCCTCTCCGCTTCGTCGGCTGCCTTCTTCAGCCTGTCTGCCTCCTCCTGAAGCTGCTTCTCGCGATTCTTCCTAGCATCTTCGGCAGCGCTCTTCCATGTGCCTGCGTGGTGGTGCGTCACAAGCACTCGGCCCTGGGCCGTTGGGTTGTTGCTATACGAGGCGAATGCGGGGATGGGAAGTATTATCACGTCGTCAAGACACTGCGGCTCGTTGCCGCCGTTCTTAACGAGATCACTCTCCTTGATCTCCTTGTTCAGCGTCTTAGAAAGAGACTCGATGATCTTTGCGGTCATCTTCTTCCTCCCCGTAACCTCGACGACATCATTGATCATCTCGAGTGTGATACCTTCAGGGCCAACTCCCCTTTGCTTTGCAATTTCAAGGAGTTGATGCACGACATCATCCACGACGGCCTTGATATGCTTGGAACCGGGCTGCGCTGCCAAAACCGCGTTGGTCAGGACTTTTTTACCGCCATGGTCGGCATCGGGTTCGAGCCCAACAACTAGGCCGGCCTTAATGGTGCTGTTCGTGCTGGATATCTCTTTTGAAAGCCAGTTGCTTACTGGCTCCTCACATGTGGTATCCAGGTCAGCCCAGATGCCGCCTTCAGCCAACAAGATAAGATAACGTAGCAGATCGGCTCGGAGGATGGGAATTTTGAGCCTGGTATAAAGAGCTACGGTGTCCGAGCCAGGGTAACGGCTGCGTACATAGTCATCACTCGACTCATCGGTGAGCAGCTCATGGCGGAAAGAAGGGTTCTTCACTATCCATGTATTGCTCATGTCGGTGTACTCGCTGCTAAGGTTCGCATGTTTGGCTGTTTGCCATATCTTGCTAGGAACCCCAAGGATTGTTCCGTTGGTATCTCCAGAGTGTGACGACGGTGTCGTTATTGCTGCGGAAGTTGTTGTGCTGGGAGGTCTTGTCCCTAGTGCACCTGTCGAAGACGATGCCAGCGTTGGTACGACCGGTGGTGCGTGTGAGATCAATGATGGAGGCTCTTGATCAGGCTTAGGCACCGGCGGCTGGAAGGGTTTATGCTGATCATCTGGGCGATCACGTATTGGTGTGTGGACAGGCACAGGGCCAAACTGTTGAGCCGAGTAGATGAGTATGATGCTTATAATGGAGGCTACAACGATCGCTCGCAACACTCGCTGCCATGCAGTCGACATCTTTTCCTTGGCCCCTTTCGTCTAGAGGCTGCTTGTCGAAGCGGTTAAAAAAAAGTCACGCCTGAGCGGGAATCATCTACAGCCCTTCAGTTTCGCCGTGACTGGGACGGAAGAGAGTAGAGGAGTAATTAAGTTCGAAGCAGTAAATGACGAGAGCTTCCCATCCAAGGATGTACGGGTAAATGCCGAAAATTTCAAAAGGACAACACCACTAAAAGCCATCCGCGCACCAGGCATCAAGAATGGCCCGAAAGGAGGCTCCAGACCAACGCTTAATACAGCCTCGCTCTATGGAGGAGACAAGGCCCTTCTTCCCTGTCCATCATAAGGATCAAGCATAGCCGCCAGGGGTGGGCTTCTATTTTCCGAGCCAGTACTCCGTATATTGTACCTCTGCGGGAATGCACCTTCTTTCCATCCTTCATAGGTTAGCCGTACTGTTAACCATAGGGGGCCAATATGCCTTTACAACTCTTAAAATAGAAACATGCTGGAGTGCACGTGACTAGCACTTCGACTCCAAGCACCAGCTTAATAATAAGGTTTGAGCCTTAACTCGCGATTAACCATCGGGTTGAATCGAGACATGAAAGGCTTCTAAAGGGTGCAAAAATTTTCAAGTTGGCTATGAGGGCCAGCAGCTGGCTGAAGAGCTGCTGGAAGAAACACTTGAAGAGCTCTCTATATTTGTGGTGGTGGTGGCTGGGCAAGCAAACTCGGTCGATTAGGAATAAAAGTATCTACTCCGTATAATTTTCTTAAACACTTCACGTGATGCATTTATTACCCATTAGATAAGCGCAGAAGTATTTCTAATTGGCCGGAAATTTCAAGACGTCAGATAAAAAAAGATCCGTAGGGAATCTTCGACTACGACGAACAATCAATAAGAGTGCACACCTCACCGTAGCAAGCGAGACAACCATGGCTCAAGGTGCAATCAAGAAGTCCAAGCCTCCGCCGGCTAAGAAGTGAGTTATGTCGCATGGCCTTGGTATATCGTTATCCTCTCACTTACCCTTCCAACCAGGCCAACAACTCTAGGCCCAAAACGAGGCGCAAAGACCATCGCACCTAAGAAAGCGAAACTCATAAAACAACAGAAAATGGTCAAGGTAGATTAAAGCTTCCCGTCTTGGAATTTGGGTCGGTGCCAAAGCTGACATGTGTTGTTCTACTACATTAGAAATTAACGTCCGGTCTGACTGGGAAGACTGAGCGATTGCTTGCTGAAAAGGCGGGACATCTGGAGTTATTAAAGGGAACAAGAAAAGATAAGAAGGGAGACAACAAACAGGCCTCGAAAAAGTGAAATACGGTCTTACAGGATTGAGGGTTTAATTGCTTTGCTGTTTCAATGTTCAACGCTCAACCGGAATCTGCGCTATAGAAGGCACTCTGCCGTGCCGCGAGATACCAGCAAACTTTGGGATAAATATCGCGCAACGTCACTGCTGCCAGAGTAGACGGTTCCAGATGAAGGGAGAAAATTACCTAACGCCGTTGATGAACGTGTGGTAAAGTATCATACCAGGATACTGTATGGTGTTAGAAGTGCGGACAGGCTATGAAGGGATTAAACTGTGATGTGGCCGCCAACAACAATATATCAGAAAGTGTCTGTTATCTATGTGAGGGCCACAAAAGGGTAGGGTGGATGATATTGATATAGGATACTGCCTGCATCACCCACTTGATGCGAAATACAAAATATACATTGTATTGCCATTATAGAATTATCAATGACGTCAATAACATGTCAACAGAACACTCCGAAAAACATAGGCGGACAGGAGTATACAAAAGAATAAAAAAAAATAAACAAATGCCAACTAGATAATGGGTGGGGAGGTGGGGGAAGGACCTTTCTCTTCTAAATAGCCCTTGCAGCCTCCCCAGCTCCGCTGTCAACAACAGTCGCCTGCTCAGCTTTCATCTTTCCCTTGTTGATACCGCCGACACCAACGCCCATTCTCCTGGCCACGTAGCGCTGTGCAACAACGCCCACGGCCAAAGTAATTGCGTCTTCAACCCATTCGGCCACCCATTCACGTGGATCGACTCCTCCGCTCTCAATTATTTCAGCAATGGCTTCTGGAACGGTCGATTGCATTTCTTGAGAGGCAGAGCTTTGGTCTACGGAAGAGGGGTCAGGGGCAGGAGCGTCAAGCCAGTCGATCCATTTCTGTGGAAGAGATTGGGAGATTGTGTGGAAGGCAATGCCGTGGATGGGATCATGCAGGTACACGGCGAAGGACACTTCTTCCTCGGCTTCTTGCTCAGTTTCCACGACGCCGCTGGTTGGCTTGTCAGCTTCTCCGCTAGGCCCAGCCCCGGCCTGGAAGAGTTCTTCCGATACGGGCTGGCTGATAGCTTGGATGGCGAGGAAGATATCACTGTTCCTGACGGGGTTGGTGTCGGATAGGATTTCGGACGCTTGACGGGTAGCTTCTTCTACGCCGCCACGAGCTCCGAAAAAGTCATTTGCGTAGGACTCTGCACTAGCTCGCGCAAGCTTGCTGGCTACCATGGCACCCTTGATGGCAGATATCGAACGACCTCCTCCTGGAGACGAATAGCGCCACCAGGGCCCATCATTCCAACCTGCTGAACTGTATTGACTGGTACCCGCGCCCTCTCCACGCTTTGGTGCTGCTTCCTGGCCACGTTGGATGACGAGTAAGTCACCTCCCTCGACCTGGGCCATGACTCGGGAAAACACATTGTATATGAGAGGATCTAGGGCAGGGTATCCTTGGAGATCATGCGTGATATGAATTTGGAGACGTTCATGAGTTGATATTGGAGGCGCCAGGGTGTGGAGAAGGGATGTAACCGTTGGAAGTGCGAGTGTGCGTAGCTCTCCCCCTAGATTATGTGGTTAGCAAGTAAATCATTCAGGCCAATCTTGGGGTATAAATAAAATAGCTCACCAAGTCCCCTGAGAGCACCGACATTATCACGGACTTGGTCTGCCCATTTCTGAGCGTCTTCGTTTTTCCGGATCTCCTGCACTGCTGCCTCAGCTTGCTTGACGGCCGCGGTAGCTGTAGCAAAGAGACCACCCCACCATCCACCTCCGCCGCCGCCGCCGCTACTGCTACTGGTCTGCGGCTGTGGTGCCGGGCTCGGCGGTGTATTCTGTGTCTCTGACAAGGGCGTGATGCTCCTATGGTATGCTCTTGTGCTATCTCCTGACTTTCTGGTCTGTAACTTCTCCTCGCTGGACCGGTCAGTAGTGGGTGTAGCGGTAGCCGCCGCCGGCTTCGGTGACTTGGTCGAGGTCGATGAGATCTGGGGCGTTGCAGGGCGACTTGCGGGCCTCTGGGAGACTAGGTTCTGGAATTCATCAAGCACGTCGTCCTCAACGGCTCCTTGCTTGCCTGGCTGTGGTGGTTTGGCGCTGACGGCATCGACGCTTAGGTCGTCGAACTGAGCCAGCAGCTCGTCAGTCGTTGGTGTGTGCTTGCCGTCTTTCGTCGTCATAGTTGCTTATTCCGTCACAGACGGTGCCTGTAGCTTCGCTGCATACGTTGTCGTAGCTTAGATAGTTGTCCGTCTCGCAGTATGTCAGGCTCTCGTGCGGTTGGTTGCTGTCTTGAGCTTGGGAGGATCCTCGCCTCTTGGCACCCAGACGTCACCACGACAGGCCATTTACGAGGTTCAGATACACACCGGACATTCTTATTAACACAACTACTGCATGGCCTGTATCACAGTAAAACTTAGACTGAGGCATTCAAAGAAAGGAAAGAACACAAAAAAAAAAAAGGAAAAAAAAAGGGAAAAAAAAGAGCGACACCGCAGGGATTCGAACCCTGGCTCCCGAAGGAATTGCATGGCTATGTATGCAGAGAAACTGTATAACGGTAGCAGTGCAACGTATTAACCACTCTACCACAGTGCCTCGGTGTGATGCTGATGGATCCGCTCAGCTTTTCATAACCCCCAGCCACCAGAACGCCAGCGCCACGCACATCATATTGCAAACATACAGGAGCGATTCTACAAGTATAAAAGGGCAAAAGCTCGCACTTTCCGCTCACCTCTCTTGAATAATTCTCCTAATTCTTCTAATTATAGCTTACGCCCTCACCCACTCACTGCTTGCTCTGCATATTACCACTGTCTTCTTTCAAGATGGCGTCGAGATGGCTAACTGAGCAGGTGGTCGGCCTGTTCTTCTTCGGGTTCGTAGTTGTCATGGCGTGTTTGATTATGTGCCGAACATCAATTTTGCTGCTTAGGCTGATTCTCGAAATATCATTTGAGGCCATGGGTGCACAGCGGGCTGTGGATATAGTCAGGGAGACCAATAAGAAAAGGGTTCTCCAGAGAGCCCCCCAACCACAGGTGCAGAAACAGGTGAAGAATGACTGCAGTCCCTGGCTGGACGATGTAGCCCATGACATGAATGTCTTCAGGCAGAGAGACATCCTTCTGAGAACAATGGTCCTAGATAGTGTCGTGATGGGGAAAATTAAAGAAATTGAAACATTTGATACGATCGGTCCTGAGGACTGGAAGTTAAAGCTAGCCGATTCGAAACAGAGGCTCGGAATTTGAGGGCAGTACTATTCGACCTTGCTTAGGCGCCAGCCGCTCACGTCGAGGGTGGGGTGAGACGATTGGTCGAATCTTGGCTTTTTCTAGATGGAGATGGACAGGGAAAACATCAGTGTAAAGCCGCACAAGGATGCTGCGCAAGGGGATGCGGATGCTGCCAGAAGCCACGGGGTATGATTCTTCCGGGAGAGCTGTACTATTCTCATTGCACAGCGTTCTGTCTTTGCTGTACCAGAGCTCGAAAATTCACAAAGCTCTCCATAGACTATACTTTTCGGGTCAAAACAAACAGATCACTAAAGTGACCACGCAGCAACCAGACTAGAAATTTTCATAGATGTGGAAGGATAGAGAAAATGCGAATGACACCAGAGACAGTAATTGGACCGGTCACTCTAGCAGTTTCGGGTATGGGAGAAGCTATTCGTGTATTAAAGATCAGATCATTTATTCATACACATCAGCAGCTAATGGTATGAACGAAGCTATGCGACATTGACTTTCCATCCATCCATAATGATAGGAGTATCAGAAATGACTGGGGTATAGTGGATATTTACTTTTGCCTTTTCTTTAATCTCCATCTTTTAGCAGCGAAATAAATCTTTTTTACATTCGTTTGTTCTGTGTCATTGTCTATATCCCAAGCAACCGATGATGTTACAGACGGGGTTATTAGCCGTCTTCAAGATGTCGGGTACAGATGGTGGCTCAAGAACCTAGTTTTGGGTATTCCTATAATCTGTTGTAAGGACCACCGGGATTACCACCGTTCGGCTGACGATGGTATCTCCACAAGTAAAGTCTCGCAAAAGGGACGGTAATTTTACTTATATAAGAGAATTAAGATTGTATCCCCCAATTACACAGTATAACTATGAGAGCTTCACTAGAAAAAGGGACAGAATACCAAGGTGGATGAGTTTCTGCCTCGAAGCTGAAGTTTTAGTTGTGTCATGACCATCGCGGCAGGCGGCAAACGCGTCTATGGACAAACCATAAGCGCCTAGCTTGTCGTGCCCGGCGCTAAATAGACCAATTTACTACCTTCCAAGGGACTACTCCAAGTGACAGGGTAATCAGTCGTGCAACGCTTGTATAAATTCTGGGATACTTACAAACTGAGGGCATCATGAGCCGTGAAGAGAGCCCGAAGCGGCGGAAGATAGATTCCGATAGATTCGCACTTTCGTCACCAAAGAGCTACACCGGCCCTGGCCCTAGACACCTTTTCAAGCGACGCGACAGACCCCCAGTGAACGACGACGACGACGGCCAGGAAAGGCCCAGCAGGGGACGAAATGGCTCATCAACTCCCCACCAGCACGCATTCGATGGCCCCGAAGCATTCGTGAACGATGATGACGCTATGGCCCTGGATCGTGACTGGTACATGGGTGATGAATCTGGACACACCTTTGGAGACGAGACGCATAACCCCTTTGGCGCTCCAGAAAGTGCCTGGGCAGACCAGATTCGCGAGGCAGCATTGTCAGAGAAGAAAAACAGTCGCCGCTTCAATGCCCGTGCTGTACAAAAACAAAAGGACGTGGATGCGTGGGAGACAAATCGCATGCTAACCTCGGGCGTTGCCCAGAGGAGGGACTATGACGCTGATTTTGAAGATGACGACGACTCGACTAGAGTACACTTGCTCGTTCATGATCTTCGTCCTCCCTTTTTAGATGGCCGTACAGTCTTCACGAAGCAACTCGAACCTGTTCCGGCCGTACGAGATCCGCAGAGTGACATGGCTGTTTTTAGCCGTAAAGGAAGTAAAGTTGTACAGGAAAGGAGGCAGCGCAAGGAACGCCAGAAGCAAGCTCAAGACGCAACAAATGCTGCCGGGACGACTTTGGGGAATATCATGGGTGTTAAAGAGGATGAGGGTGATAGCGCAGCCGCAATTCCAGGGGAAGAAGATCAAACGGCGGGCAACAACAGCAAATTTGCGTCGCATTTGAAAAGGTCGGAGGGATCTAGTGTCTTTAGTAGGAGCAAGACCTTACGGGAACAGAGGGAATATCTCCCTGCATTTGCCGTCAGAGAGGAACTCCTACGAGTGATAAGGGATAACCAAGTCATTATTGTTGTTGGCCAGACTGGCTCTGGAAAGACTACCCAGTTGACTCAATTTCTTTATGAGGATGGTTACGGGGAGCTTGGTTTGATAGGTTGTACGCAGCCACGCCGTGTTGCTGCAATGAGTGTCGCCAAACGAGTCAGTGAAGAGATGGAAGTCAAACTAGGAGGGCTTGTGGGCTATGCTATACGTTTTGAAGACTGTACGAGCAGCGAAACGGTGATCAAATGTAAGTGGTCCTTCCAGTGGTATAACCGAGCGAGTTGCTAACATTTCTTCTAGATATGACGGATGGCGTTCTCTTACGAGAGTCCTTGGTCCAGCCCGATCTCGACAAATATTCTTGCATTATAATGGACGAGGCTCACGAAAGAGCTTTGAATACAGATGTTTTGATGGGCTTGATCAAGAAAGTTCTTGCAAGAAGAAGAGACCTTAAGCTTATCGTGACATCTGCTACCATGAACTCTGACCGATTTTCGAAATTCTACGGAGGAGCTCCAGAGTTTATAATTCCTGGACGTACTTTTCCTGTTGATATACAATATTCTCGTTCTCCGTGCGAAGACTACGTTGATAGTGCTGTCAAACAAGTGTTGGCCATCCACGTTTCCCAGGGATCGGGTGATATCCTAGTTTTCATGACGGGGCAGGAAGATATTGAGGCTACTTGCGAATTGATACACGAGAGGTTGGCTCTTCTAAATGATCCGCCGAAAATTAGTGTATTGCCCATATACAGCCAAATGCCGGCTGATTTACAAGCCAAAATTTTCGACAAGGCTCCTCCAGGAGTCAGGAAAGTCATCGTTGCTACCAATATTGCTGAGACCAGTTTGACAGTCGATGGCATTATGTATGTGGTAGATGCAGGGTTTTCAAAGTTAAAGGTGTACAATCCGCGAATGGGCATGGACACACTCCAAATCACCCCGATTTCGCAGGCCAATGCTTCCCAGCGAGCTGGCCGAGCTGGCCGAACTGGGCCTGGGAAAGCATATCATTTGTATACTGAGCTTGCATTCAAAAATGAGTTTTATATTCAAACAATCCCGGAAATTCAACGGACAAACCTTGCCAACACGGTACTCCTGCTCAAATCACTAGGAATCAAAGACCTGCTGGATTTTGATTTCATGGACCCTCCCCCTCAAGATACAATCACAACCTCACTATTTGACCTTTGGGCTCTCGGGGCAATTGATAATTTGGGGGATTTAACTGCCATCGGCCGCCGAATGAGCGCATTCCCAATGGATCCGTCACTTGCGAAACTCCTAATTACTTCATCAGAGCTGTATGACTGCAGCGAAGAAATGCTCACAATCGTATCTATGCTCTCTGTACCCAGCGTGTTTTACCGTCCAAAAGAGCGACAAGAGGAGTCCGATGCCGCTAGAGAAAAATTCTTCGTGCCAGAGTCAGACCATCTTACTCTTCTCCATGTCTACACACAATGGAAAGCAAACGGTTATTCAGATGGGTGGTGTGTGCGCCACTTCCTCCATCCCAAGGCCCTCCGACGAGCCAAGGAGATCCGTGAACAGCTACATGATATAATGAAAATGCAGAAAATGCAATTGACAAGCTGTGGTACGGATTGGGATATTATTCGAAAATGCATTTGTTCCGGCTACTACCATCAAGCTGGCAGGGTCAAGGGTATTGGCGAGTATATTAATTTACGGACGAGTGTAACTGTGCAGCTACATCCCACCAGCTCTTTATACGGTCTTGGTTTCCTACCTGACTATGTGGTGTATCATGAATTGATATTAACCAGCAAAGAGTACATGTCTACTGTTACTGCAGTTGATCCCCATGTGAGAATATACCTCCTCTTCCAGCATTTAGAGGCTTAGCTAACATATTTTCTCTTACCAGTGGCTTGCCGATCTTGGTGGTGTTTTCTATTCAATTAAAGAAAAAGGCTACTCTGCGCGCGAACGCCGCGTTACAGAACGTGAGTTCAATAGGAAAATGGAAATAGAAACGCAAATAGCTGCAGATCGTCAGAAAGCCGCGGAACTTGCTGCCCGTGAAGCTGAGAAAGAGTCAGCTAAAAAGAGACAGGAAATACAGACTGCAGTGAGAAGACCGACCGCTACTCCGGGGATAAGGAGGGCCACTGGTGGTTTGGTCACAAGTGGTAGTGTGGTCAAGAGGCCGCAATCCAAAAGAGTGGGAAGGGGATTTTGAGTGAAAGTCAGTGCCTCCTTTAGTTGTGAACAACGGGATAGAGATAGAGCGGCTGTCGAGAGCTTCATTGCACTGTATAGGTGTCAGATAAAAACGTTTCGGCGGTTCGTACCCGAGAACAATGTTCATTTGACATTGAATATCAAGTTTCTCTACTTCTTTTTGGGTAGTATACACGAGCTATGAACGTATTGAAGTCAAGCTCCCCTTCGAATTTCTCGATTACCGGGAAGCCTAACTTGAATATAATGGAGCCCCTATTGGGTTAACGATTATTCGATTGCTCAGTTGATGAAATTGATGCAGAAAAAGTGCAGTACAATGCTCCCAAATATATAATCCGCGAATGCTCTATATTAAACTTGTTAGCACATGTGATTTTTCCATCAGCTCACATCCTGCCAATTGAAGTAAACACCGACCTTTCACTAGAACCCTCTCCCCGGTCTTGAATCGGCGTGTCTGCCCCGCTAGAAACGCCGGAACTTCCGGCAGTCTTAGTCTTCCCTACATCGCTGGTTTGCATTCTTAAACTCGCTGTGAGGACGAACTGGCCCACAGCAGCAGAGAAGCCGCTTAGGAATGCATTAAAAGGCTGGATTGAGTAGAAACAGAATGGTTAGCCATAGTACCCTCTCATAGGTCGTCTATAACAGATAACACAAGGATTTCGAAGTGTAGACTCACATAGTTGCCCGCTAAAACACAGTATACGAATTGAGTTCCTCCAACCACAACTAAAAAAGCCATGAAGATATCTAAAAGTAGTGTCCGCTGGGGGGTGTTTGTGGTGTAATTATCCCATATATTCAGTATTATATCTTTCGCGGGAGCATTTGCAGAGGTCGATAGCGATGGCTTGGGTACAGTTGACGAAGCTGTTGCTTGTTGCTTCACTTTGCTGGCCGGGGGAGTCGTTACATCGGACTGTATTTCTCGACGTTTTGGTGCCATTGGGACAGGATTAAACGGAAGGAGGCTCGTAAAACCAAATAGCAAGTTTCTTTTGGTATAGAAATCCCTCAAATATTTGTTAAATAAGCGTAAAACCTCTGCTTTCGCTCGTCAAGTTCATCTTCCTCGCTGCAATGGTCGATTTGGTGATGATGGAGGCGAAAGGAACAGGTCGCCGAAATATCACGTGATGATAACTGGTCCGGGGTGAGTGTTGACTAAGCAGGAGCAACCGCCAACGTCGCGCAAAGGTAGAAGATGCCATTCTATAATCGATCACAGAAACACACAACACGTTGGCAACCACACATCGCTCGTGGGCATAAGAGGGTACTGTGGAGACACCCACTGTTGAGGCCAGTCAATCAAAAGCTTTCACATTGTATAGCCGGGCAATAATGGTAGGTTACTCAACTGTTGCGGTCACGCCAATGCTTGCCTCTAATATCAGGCTTTCTAGAACGCAAATACAAGTTATTCGGCCGCTGCCCTCTCCCTTCTAACCTCCTGCGGCGGCATCATCGGGTATGCACGTACAGGATCGGTTCCATCTATTGTTGCAGGACTCACAATCGGTGCACTTTACGCCGTAAGCTATTTCCGCCTACAAGCCCATCAGCCTTATGGAGAGGAGATTGGCCTTCTCGCATCCGCTGTTCTAGGCGGTAGCTCTATTCCAAGAGTTATCAAAACCGGTGGAAAACCACTTCCTGTGGGGTTGAGCATATTGGCAACTTATGGCTTGGTCGCATTCGGTTTGGCTTACCGAGATAAGAAGACGTTTGCTTAAACCGTAGGAAATACAGGACGAGGGGTTGTTTCGAGGAGTTTGTGTTGTAGAAATAAGTATGTAATTCTAGAAAAAAAAAAAAAAAAAGAAAGAAAGAAAACGCTCACATTTCAACATTACAAAGTACAGAGAGCTATCAAGCTAGATGTTCTTGTTTGCGGTTCCTAGACCTCTCGCCCAATAACTCCACCTGCTATGAATGAATAGAAGTGTACAAGAAACAGCGGATATCTCACAGTTTGTTAAGGGCAGTTCGTTCTGTATCGACTACAGGGTACGTAGACGTTCCTCCTTGACCTCTACTAGGTGTCCAAGATTTCGTTCCGCAATTCCACAGTATCGTCAAGTTGCTGGTTCAAAAGGTCACCAATCTCCATGCTATCCTGCATGATGCGTCTGGCTTCCTCATCGTCAACATCCATGTCTTCCTTGACAAGAATTGTTGTCAGCTCTGGAACAAGCACTGCCTGAACATAGCCGGAAACTCCAACTGCCTGTACCAGCGGGTCTGATAAAGCCAATTCCCGTACTCGCGGAGCAAAGCGGGAAATAATGACTTCCATCCTACAATACGCCTGTAAGCATGCAAAATGCGGGAGACTAAGCATAGGAGTAATTTCTTACATATTCTTTGCGCCTCGTGCCCCATAGTACCCGGTAGTCATCTTTTCTAGTTCTGAGTTAGTAATACTAAGACGGAAGTTTCCTTGCTTGTTGTGCTCCAGAGCAGATGATTTCAATAACTCTCAATAAACTGAGCAACTGTCGGGTAACAATATTCTTTCCAATTCTGCAAAATGGCCTTCAATGCGTGTCTGTAACGAGTCCCACTCTATAGTTGGATAACGTCTTTCTTTCCACTGCTGCTCTGCAGATTTCCTCCTGTGTAATAAGCAGAACCGGGATTGCTGGCCCATTTTTTCCATTGATTTGAAAGACTTGAACAGTTCCATGTCCACTGGTATCTCGCACACAGGACACACTGTAACTGGCGCAGAGCGACGGTCAATCTCCTCCTGGAGCTCTGGGGGTATATGCACAGAAAACGACGAAGATACGGAGCTTAGCGGTGACACGGCTTCAAACCCATCACTAACGTCCAGAATATCAGGGTCATTTTCACGGCAAGAGCTAGCTGGAATAGATGCGTGAGTTTGCATGAAGGAGGCTGGGTCCTTGAACTGGGGCCCTTTGTCAGCTTGGGATTTATGCGAGCTTTTAGGACTAGCGTCAGAACCGCTCGAAGGTTCCCTTTCACACTCGCGCGCCGCCCGGTGTTTCAGGGGTGTTGGAGCATGAATGTTATGAGACGTCTTTGTTGAGTATTGCTTTTGTCTTCGACTTTGCTTTGAGAATGCCTTGAATATACCTTCCTCTTCCTTATCTTTTTGGTAAGGGTGAGTTGTAGGTCTCCTAATATTGCGTGTAGCCGCTGGCTTCTTAGATGTGTTCGACTGGTTCTTCCTAGGAGTTGGGGTTCTCTTTCGTCTCTTCGGTGAATTTTCATTCTCCGAAGCATCACTCTCCCCCAGGCGGCTTTTTGACAAATATTTTGCAGCGTCACTCTGTTGGATATGGTAACTTAAGTCCCTTGGTGAAAAGAGAGTTCTTTTCTGCGGATCACGAATTGCCGATACCTCCTCCACCTCCCCCAAAGTCGTATTCGTCCTCATCGCTGGAAGCAAGGGGTTCATCGTCGGTCGCAGGCTCGACCCTTTGCTTTGCGAATGTAGGGCTCAGCTGTTCTGCCCGATTGTCTGGTGATTGACTCCCTGTTCCCACAACTCTCTTTTGCGCGCTCCGTGTTGGCCTCCCTCCGACCTGCGAAAGTGGTGGACCTCCAGTATGATTTCTCGTTGTTAATCGGGTTGATGCGTAGCTGGGGTCTGGCCTCGGGGCGGGAGCCATCCCTCAGGGGCGCCAGCACGATGGCGGATGGGATTGGTAGGGACTATAGCCGTTCCGTGGTTCGCTCGATACTTGTCGAAGCGGTTGTTTGCTGTCGTTTCGCGCGTCTCGTTTGCTGGTGGAGATCACTTAGACGCGAATAGCTAACGAGTTAAGCGCCAAGTCAACCAGTTAACGACAAGAACATTTTAATACTCTCGACACGAAGCCTATGCGAAGCGCTGAGAAAAAGGCGGCTCAGAACGGTATTGAATAATGACTCCAGGCCATGAGCGTCCATTTAGTTGCTACTTATCTCATGTAAGATGCAGTTTATTAACTAAGTCACGTAGCGCTGAAATAGATACAAAAGGTGTTTCATGGAGTTGAAAGATAACAAGAAGATATGTAAAAGTAGCGTTAGACACATTGGCCGCATTAGTGTACTCGAGGTGCTCATAAAGCAAACCGTTTCATTGGAATGTCATCTTTATGTTAGGTTCGTTATAGTCATCGTGCTGCTCGGCCCAAGCGTTGTGAGAAGGATTGATATCAGAAAGTCCGTAGTGACTGTTGGGAGAGGAGATCGAGGAGTATACTGGGGAATCAGATGCTAATTTCTGAGGAGGGGAGGCGACTGGAGAAGTGTAGGAGGTATCAAAGGTCATTTCAATCTCTTCCTCTTGAGCAGGCCATGTATGCGTGGGAATTCTTGACTGGCTTTTGCTTTCTGACGACACTGGCGAGGTGTTGGACTTGGGAGATAAGATTAGAGCGGGATCTGGCTTTATATCTGTATCTTTATTTGTCGTGTCCTCTGATGCCACTGCGGGAGTCGAGTCTGTCTGCGCGTTCGTAGCGGTAGGCGAATCAATGTTCACGTCGAGATTTATAGGAGGCAGTGTAGACTCCAACTGTTTGATCTCAATATGCTCACCAGCAAGCTCAGCTCTGATGGCGTCAATATCAAAGAGAACGGAGCTATCTGCATCGCCCGGCTTTCCAGACGAGCTCGACTCCTTTGTGCTCTTATTCACATCATAAGTTTCCCACCGCTTCTTTTGGGCAAGTTTCCCACTCTTAAAGAAACCAAACCGCTTCTTGTCCGGTTTCAACTCGGCTTGTCTGCGAGCTTCGTCTATTTCACGCATTAATTCACGCTGTCGTTCTTCATGCTTGTCAGGATCAGGGTCTTCGATTTCAGTAAACTCGTCGCTTTCTACATCCCACCCAACCTCTCGCAGCAGTCGAGGCATCGCAGTACGGTAGGCCATATGGCCACTGACAAGATGTGTAACATTAACATTCTCGATCCCTGGAGTACATTCGACAGGGGCGAGTCCAGCTACACGCATAATTCCACCACTGGTTGCCCGGAAAAGGTAACCGAGAATCCAATCATTTGAAGAATAGCCATTCACAAACCTCCCAGATACGACGCTTCGGGCCCTGGTATACTCGTCCTTTGATACGACGACAGGAGAGCCAAATAGGTATACGTTCTGCACTAGCCCAAAGGCGCCTTTGTTGGCAAGTTCCTTCAAGCAGGAAAAGATTAAGCGCGAACCCAGTGAAAATCCAAGGAGGGTGATAGGTCTATTCCCTAAATTCTTGTTTATCAGAGAATCAGCCAGTATTAGCCCAGCGGCATTCGCACGAGCAAGTGACACGTTCCAGGGATTGTCAATGAGATACGACAGCTTCGTTAGAACAATAGGCAATTGCAGTGACGCCATTAGGGCAGTGAGAATCGTAGCACCCAGGACTTGTTGAAGACCTTGTGTGAGAGCCTTAGGAAGGTCATCAGCTAATTTATTTCCTTTTACACTGATTTAAGAAAAAAAGAAAAGGAGTTGGAGAGCATACCTCAGTAGCAAGAATATTGATTGTTTGTCCTGTACTTTGTAACATTTCAGGCTCCCACAGAACAGAGTAAATGTCGCCCATAATAGGATCCACAGTACTAAATGGCAATCGAATGTCATCGACCTTGCCATTCATCCATCCAGAAACTGTGACAATAAGATTGAGTCGTTTGTTGTTGTGTAAAGGGCGATACTCAAACGTTTTGACAGCGCCTGTCCTTCTGTCAGAGGCCTTAATCCCAATAGTACTCCCTGCAACAGTTGCGCCTGAGGTTATTAGGGCTGTTCCACCAACCCCACCAAGGAAGGCACCTGTACCGCTGACTCCGATAGTCGTGAAGCCGGCAGCAAGGCCAGCACCAATGACGGGCGCAAGAAGCCCAGCCGAGAGGCCAATTACCAGACCACCTCCAACCGTTGCTAAGCCCATTATCAGATACCGTTGCTTCAAAGCAGCCTTCCTTCGGGACTCCAAATGTTGTGCTTCATCCCATGTCTCCTTGCTAGCTTCTTGTTGCATTTCTAATGCATCAATAATGCGTTTCTCAAACCGACAAATTTGGGTCCAGGAAATGTGCATTGATTCTCCAACCAATTCAAGCAGCTTTCTAGATCTTGCATCGTACGTTGCATCTGCAATAAGAACGAGAAATAGGTCACAAAGAACAGTCCACCGAAGGTCTATATCTAGATCTTTAGACTGCTGGAGTTCGGAGGGTGATTGAATTTCTGGTATTTCGTTACTGTCATTACATTCATAAAGTGGTGGAGGCGTGGGTGATCGTGGCGGTTCATCAGAGAAATTTGACATTTTGTTGTTACTATCCGCAGCAGACTCGTCGACTGGTCCTTTGAGGCCGGATTCAGGCTCCTGGGCAAGAGGATTCTTCACACGAGAATTCCGCATTAGGGGAGAAACTAGGTCCTCTGGCCGAACCCCATGTTCTGCCAATTGTTCAATCATAACCTGTTCATCGGAGTTAATCTCCATATGCCCGTAGAGTCTGATCATTATTTGTTGGCCCCATTTCGTCATTGAATCTACTGCAGTGCTGAGAAATTTGCGCGTCGTCTTTGATGATGACTCGTATGATTCCACTTGCTTAACCATTTGAAATATCGTTAATCTCGTAGCCCCAACATACGCAATTCTTTGACCTTCGGTAAGGAGGTCTTTTGTTGCTTCTAATTGTGATGTTGGATCGCGTAAATCGTCGTCTTCAACGCCAAGAGCATTACTTTGCGGTTCTTTGAACAAGTAGCTCGTATTTTCGTCCATACTAGTTGCAGATTGAGCATCTTCGTCAATTTGAATTCGGGTATATCCCTTTCCAGCCCCTCCTAGGCCTTGATAAGCCGTAGCGTCATCTTCTTTGGCACCGCGGGCTACTATTCTTCCATAATCATCGTAAACGTCAAACTCTCCCAGTGCTGGCATGTCTTGCCATGTATCTTCTTCTTTTTCTTCTTCGGAGTCATCTTTTGTTGTTATCTTTTGATGTGACCACTCCGACACATCCTTTGAATGCGCCTCATGGTGCGGCTTAGAAGCGCTGTTATTCTCAGTAGCACTAGGTTTCGTGGAGATGTCATCCTTTTTTGTCTCTGAGAAGCTGACAGTAGTCTTATCATGGTTTATATTGGATCCTGGTTCGTCAACAGGTAAATCGGCTGTCTCTCCTTTCGGCACCTCGAGGGGTCCAGACACAGATCTGGCCACGGGCTTTGGGATATCTGAGCCCGCAGGTGTCTTTGATCTATCCGGGAGAGTGGGCGATACATTCTGTGCTGACACAGATCTTGCTGCTAGGGTTGATCTTCCAGACCTAGCCGGCAACCCAAAATCATCGAGCTCTTCTTTGGCTGCAGCTGCTTTCGTCGATGAGATTTTCGACCCTTTCTGATCAGTACCTTCACCACATCGACCTGCCTCTTCATAGCTGGCACTGCCCTCTACCATTTTCTTGTCCCCATTCCCCTCAGTATTACCATCCACGGGCGTTACGGAGTTCATTATAGGTCAACGTCCTCCTCACCGCCACGATGAGATGATGTAATAGTTCCAGCGCAAAGGTTTTCCCAAATAGCAAGGGACGACATTCCCAGTTAGACAAGTGAAGTATTCTCGATACCTGTCTGATGGGCCGTTGGATTGTGGCGTCTTTTGGCTGAGGCAATATCGGGAGTTGTGAGTCGAGAAAATGAGTAGAAGAGTAGACTAGGGTGTTAAACGTGCTGGAAATGAAACAACCAGTGAAAACGGCCTATATATAATGTCTCATTATTATTCGGTCGTGGTAGATGGAGGAAAAGAAAGGAGCCCACGTAGGTCATGAGATCATAGGAATCAGCCCCTAGTTATCTAAGATCGATTAGCTTCAGCATCAACTACTTGGTTATGGTAGAGGCGTCGGATGAAGCCCACGGATATCTCACTGTTATTTTGCGGGCTGATCTCTGCCCATAGCTAGGTATAGGGCAAACCAAACGAGGGTGATTCAGAGGCCTTTTGTGAAGCTTTTTCCCCTTGCATCAATTCCGTCTGCCTCGCGTTCTCGTCTTTTCTTCCCTGAACAAAGACTGGAGGAGAGTTTAAGCTTTTTCACGTGCTTAAGGATAATCAATAGTCCGAGAGCTTATTTGGGCGGGACCTCAGGTGCTTATCTAATTCAACCAACTTTGAAGTCAGCAGCCCAAGATCTCTTTAGATCAATATATGTTCATACTCTTCCGAGTAGTGCTCATAAGGATAGCTGGCCTGTGACTCTCAGAATTAATGACTCCGAGCACACGATGCTAGAAGTACCATAAAGGGTGTATGGAGTTTCCTTTTATTCTCTACGCCTGGCTCTGAAGTGGACAAAGGCCAAGGATTAAACCGGGTTATAACCGCAGGCAGATCAAGTTGTCAGATCCACCAAGGCATCTCTCAGAAAAGGAACAGAATGGCGGTATGGGATATTAAACCTAAATTCTGCGTGTACAATGTAACAGAAACACCGAAATAAATTGTCCCGGTTGACAAATAAGGCTACGGACCCAAAGCCGATATATTTCGGCTGTGCAAGATGTTTCGAGAAATAGAGGCCACAGAACTCACCACTAATTACTACCTAATTACTAGTTTGTGGCTGTGGCATAAGTGGTAACACTGCCTTGGTAGGTAATTATCGAAGTCTGCCGCTACACTAAAAGGAGTGAGCCCACACTAATAGTAGGCAGAGCTGAAGTTTGACAGTAATTTAATTCGACTGCCGGTGACTGGTGAAGCCCATATTAACACCATTGGCATTGTTATCTCTACGGCTCCACCGTAAGCACAGGCTGAGCCGCCAAAATTAAGATAACAGTAATTCAGCCAAAAATGCGAACCCCGCTCTTACTCTGGTCCTCTTTGTGGGCTATACATGAAAACTCTCCTAAGCTTCAGGCCCAGTCTTAGGTAGGAATCATTAGTTGGGCGTACAGAGACAACAAATCGGCAGCAAGACATAGCTACCTTTAGCGAAATAGGGATAATAATATACTGTAAGGGATGCGTATATTCTATCTGTTCAACCTTCGAATGCAGAAAAAAACAGAATGCTTAATATCACCCCGAAGACCAGACTTTACTATATATAGTTAGCTCGGCGACGAGAAACCCGGATAGGTGTGGGCTTTGGCGGCTAACTCGGCGAATAACCGAGTAGAAAAGGCTCCAAATTCCCAATGACTTAACAAGTTCTCCACTTTGGATCACCTTCTCACGATTCCTGCTTTATGTGCGGCCATCAGATGCACTATCTCGGAACTCCGACATATACAATGGATAGGGAACGACCTTCGTGGGGAACTTTTCAAGTTTCAGAGTATGAGGATGACAGACTTGCAGATATAATAAGTCGCCCGCCATCTGGTACTGGACACGTGACAGGCTATCGTGATCAAGACTCAGGGCAGGAGTTATACTACCATACGAAATCATTCAGCTTATCTATGGGTGATTAAATAGCTATCGGGGTATAATTCATTTTGCATGGGTAACTGGTACTTAGTCGGATTGAGATATATGGCCATCTTGGCCGAAGATGCCTTGTGTCGGGGTCACCATTCCTCTAAGGCTCGCGTGACAAGGAAGCCGTTAAACTTAAGATACTCGTCCACAATGTTCACAGCCGCCCAGATTATTTGTCAAATATTCAGAACTACGCCAGAATTTGGGATAACACTGAGGTTCTACTCTCAAAGGTGAAAATGCGCTTACTTGGAGCGGAAGGTTACTCTACATCTGATAACTGGGTGATCACCTGCCAGCACCATGGACTTTGTTCGAGAAGTATATCTTCTCCAAATTATGTATAAAAAATATCCTTGAGGTTTAACTACATTATCAATCGTGGTTATTTATGCGGCTTTCAATTCAACGACGAATTTTATGGATCTGAGGGTGAATATGATACTCGCATACATCTGGATTGACTCTGCGAACTTCAGCTAGCATCAGATAACCAGGGTATTGTGACACCCAAGATGAATGATGGCTTAACTTGGTACGCCTGTTGGCATGGACCTGGTCGGGGTTTGGGCAGACTTGAATATACCAAGATTGAATGGCCTGTTTGCACTACTGCTACTATATTCCACCGTGCAGGGTATTTTGCTCCAGCCTGTAGAACTAGGGCATTATTTTGGCTTCTCTGACTGATTAAGTCATGAATGTTAATTTAACAGTATGTTAAACACAGTATGAGAGCATCCGTGATATATCTTCCATTAGCGTCTTTGAGGGCGAACCTAGTCAGAATGTAGATATGATGAAGATCAGGACCCATTGCACTGGGCCATTGGATTCCCTGTCTTCTCTTCGCTAGCCATAATGCTAGGCTTTTTCGTATTGGCTGTTAATATTCATATATTTGAGCTGGAATCGTTCCAATAGTGACCTACTAGGAGTAGCGAGTCTCGGATATTGATATTGGCCTTCGCACTCTGACCAGTCGACTGTTGATACGGGAGTGCAAGCGATGGGGTGGCTATTTGGCTATTTCTCTGCAGGGAACTCTTCATTCACAGTATCAACTCTTTACTTCCAGCATTTACTAATGTTTAGGTATCAATTGATTGAAATTACTTGAAGGCTCCTAAGCATAGAACGATAGGAAAAGATGACCACTACAAATAAACTCCAAGGCCGCCTTACTTTAAAAAAGGCCCAGCACAAAGTTGAGTTTAGAACGCTATTCCAAACTGCCAGCAAACAACACTGCAGCGTCGGCTTTCAAAACAGTCCAATACAGCAGCGAGCAGTTTGTCGAGAGCAGGGGTGCAATACGGTTTGATTTCTCGGCAGATATAGGTAAAGTGGATGTTTCATGCTAACAGCTTCATATTCATTGTATTGGTATATATCAAGTATATACAGAGGAGTAGCCGGGTTATATTGCTAGTACAATAGGGTGCTTTTCTGTTTTATTGTCTGTTCCCGGCGCAAGAGCTGCATTTACCAGCCTTGTTGGGCTGGGCTGTGGGAGGCCTAGGAGGACTTTAAGCAATGCTATCAACATCCAGAAACTCATGCGCAGTATTGCAGTTATACCGCTTCTCCGCAGGACTGCATCTTCCCAGGCACTCTGTACCCCGTCATGGAGAAGGAAATCTTCTCCATATCCATCATGAGCATGACCGAATACAACGAGTTGCGGCCTTACCCTTCTTAATTCTTTTAACAGATACCCATCTCCTTTCTTTCCAGTATCACGATGGAGTACGGGTGGGCCATGAATCACGACTATATCTGTATTGTCAGGGATTCTACCAGTCCAAACATCCCGAATTGCTGGGTATTGGAAGGCCCAAATACCAAACTCGGGTGTCTGAGGTGAACCGTAGATATTCAGTCTCCTCCCATTTGGAAAGCCTAGGGTGACAGATCGGTCCTGGATATACTCGACATCATATAAGTCCAAACTGAAGACAGACGATCCAGGCTGGCTGGGAATGCGGGTAGGATGACGCTTAACAAAGTCCGAATCGAGCAAGAGATCGTGATTTCCTGCTATAACAATTTTATGAGTATGCGGGAGGGTAGACAGCCATTGAAATTGACCGTGAAGCTCCTCAGATGTACCATGTTGAGTCAAGTCACCAGCATGGATGAGAAGATCGCCAGGTGAAACATCTCTGGTCGAGTTGTGGGTATCCGAGATGCAGACAAGCCGGACAGGCTTGGTACCGGCTGGTGAAGCAGCAGAGGGTTGGAAACGCAGGTAAACGCCATAGAGCGCATTAGCCAAGGTCTTGAACCCAGAGAACGGAGGACTACGATGCCCCTGGTTATAAGGATACGGTAAGAGATGGCTGTTCATGTTTATCGGATAGTAACTCAGCTCAGCCGACTCTGGAAAATGGTCATGTGGTACATCGAACATGCCAGCGGAGGCCGCGCTTAGCTGACAGTCCGACTTGTCAAGCGGAAGATATCGCTCGATTCCGTAGCTTGGTGGAGATGGCCACCGGGTGAAGCTCCGGCAGCGGCGACAGCTGGCCCGTCGTGATAACTACCTAACTTAATGGTTATCAGATTGTCTCCCCGAAGTACTCCGTGCACTGCTCTGTGCTGTCCATCTGCCACATGCTTGCTTTTGCGCTCCCCCGTCCACTCGTCTCCCCTGCTGCCTTGTGCATGGCTCCCTGGCCGCCCTCTCCTGCCTGCCCTGCCCTGCCTGCCCGCCTGCTTTGCTCCCTTCGGTTGACACGATACGATGCAAGCGTCGACTCGCTCGTGGCTGCCGAGGCTTGTGATTGGTCCTTGTCTTCCGACCCGGCGCCCACATGGCACGTGACTGTACTGGAGAAAGCCTTGTAAGAAGAAGAGAAGAAGAGAAGAAGAAAAGAAAAAAAATTAAAAAAAAAAAAAAAAGAAGAAAAAGAAGAAGATCTCTAGGGTCCAAGAGAAGACAAGCGAGACAGAGTAAAAGCAATATCAAAACAGTAAACTACTAACCAGTCGTCGATATCAAATATCAATATTGATCAAATACTGTAAGCTCACGGGAAAAGAAAGAAAAAAAAAAAAAAAAAGAAAAAGAAAAAAAGCCAAGTCTTGCCGCGACCGAAAATCGGGTAAGCTTTCCAGTTCCTGAGCAGCGAGCGAAAAGACAGATAAATTTTTCTGGACCCAGAAGTCGAAGAGGAAGAAACTCCTCAGGATCGGCTCTCTCTTTCTCCTCCCTTTCTCCCTTTCTCCCTTTCTTCCCTCTCCTGCTCCTGCGTCTCCCGCATCTCCTCCGTCACTCTGCTGGCTGTCTGCCGTGAAGTCCAGACAGCCCATTCACTCGCATCCGGTGCATCCCTACTTGTCCCGGCGGCCACAGCTTGCCGAGCTTTCTCCAGCTTTTCCCCCGGCATCCTCCTCGCAGCACCCCTCAACCGCAGAGACCCCAATTACTCGTATAGAGGCAGAGATTACGGCAAAGAGGACTTCGGGATCCGGTCCTAGCACCCTCACATCATGACGCAGAATCTAAAGGAGCAGCTGGTGGGCAGGTCTAGTGAGACACCACTGAGCGCACATGTCAAAGCCCATTTTATGCAGCACGCGAGGGTGGACAGTGAGTCTGGTGAACTATACATGACAAGAGAAGACTTTATCAATGCCATTGCCCCCAAGAATGAGGACTATGTAAGTTATTTCCCCTGCTCTGGAAACACTGTGATGGCTGCGTTGGCTGCTTCAGGCTGTTTAACGGGCGCTGTCGGCGTTCACATAAGCTTAACACTCAAGCATAATCCAACATCACCCCCTTCCTTCTAGTAGAGAAAAGCAGACATAGAGCTAACGTGATTCTATAGCACAAAATAAAACGGGAACAATATGGCATTCTCTTTAATGTTGCCGACCGAAGACGAACCGGCAAGATCAATCTCCAGGACTGGTCGATGTTTGAGGACCTTCTGGCCAAACCAGACGCCGAGTACGAGATCACGTTCAGGCTCTTCGACACCGAGGGAACGGGAATAGTCAAGCATGAGACGCTACAGAAGCTATTCAGCTCTGCCAAAGGCGACAACACCATCCCTTTCGACTGGAATTCGGGGTGGGCTGCTCTCTATACTGGCTCGAAAAAGACAAGGCACGACATGACATACCCGCAGTTTGCGCAGATGCTTCGCGGGTTGCAAGGAGAGAGGATAAGACAGGCATTCCACCTGTTCGATAAGGACGGGGACGGCTACATCGAACCGGAAGACTTTCAGCGCATCATCCTAGAAACCTCGCAGCACAAGCTGTCAGACCATCTGTTGGAGAACCTGCCTACACTATGCAACATCTCCTCCGGCAGCAAGATATCATACGCCAACGTCCGTGCATTCCAGAATATCATCAGAGAAATGGACATCATAGACTACATCATCCGCAGTGCCGTTCGCAAGAGTGACGATGGAAAGATCACACGGTCTGACTTTTTGAACGAGGCTGCCCGCATCACCCGCTTCTCGCTCTTTACACCAATGGAAGCCGATATCCTTTTCCACTTCGCCGGTCTCGATGCCCCATCTGGTAGACTTGAACTTGGCGACTTTGCAAAGGTTATCGATGCTTCGTGGCACAGCGCCAGCGTTTTGGGCAGGGAGGCGTTGGCTGGTGCGTCCAAGGCAACCGAAAAGGTCACCGGAACAACCAGCCAGGTGCTTCACAACATACTAGAATCTGTTCACCATTTCGCACTTGGAAGTATCGCTGGTGCTTTTGGTGCCTTTATGGTCTATCCGATCGATCTCGTCAAAACCAGAATGCAGAACCAGAGAAGTGCACGCGTCGGTGAGAAGATGTACATGAACTCGCTCGACTGTGCTAAGAAGGTCGTCCGAAACGAAGGTGTGCTGGGACTGTATTCTGGAGTCATCCCTCAATTGATTGGAGTTGCGCCTGAAAAGGCTATCAAGCTTACCGTCAACGACCTCGTACGAGGATTCTTTGCAGACAAGGATAAGGGCGGCAAGATATGGTGGCCTCATGAGGTTATTGCTGGTGGTTCTGCTGGTGCCTGTCAAGTCGTATGTGTCTCACCCAATCTTAATTCTTCTCTTGTCTTGGATATATTTGCTAACCTTGTCTAGGTCTTCACCAATCCACTAGAAATCGTCAAGATTCGTCTACAGATCCAGGGAGAAATTGCAAAAAATGTCAATGAGACAGCAGCCCCTCGTAGATCCGCAATGTGGATCGTGAAGAATTTGGGTCTCATGGGGCTATACAAGGGAGCTAGCGCCTGTCTCCTTCGTGACGGTATGTGCTACTAACTTTCTTTTTTTTTTTTGGATAATATGGCTAACATACCGTCCAACAGTCCCATTCTCGGCAATCTACTTCCCAACGTACTCCCATTTGAAAACCGACTTTTTCGGCGAGTCCCCCACCAAGAAGCTAGGTGTTATCCAACTTTTGACTGCTGGAGCCATTGCCGGTATGCCTGCTGCGTACCTAACCACCCCATGTGATGTCATCAAAACCCGTCTCCAAGTCGAAGCTCGCAAGGGAGAGACAAAATACACCTCTCTCCGCCACTGTGCCGCTACAATCATGAAGGAAGAAGGATTCAAAGCCTTTTTCAAAGGTGGACCAGCTCGTATCCTACGTTCGTCTCCTCAGTTCGGCTTTACCCTTGCTGCGTATGAAGTGCTTCAGAAATGGCTGCCAATGCCAGGCTCAGCGCATGAAGAAGTCACTCCAACCGGCTATGTCGAGCCTGGGGCTAGCTTACAGCCAGCCTCCGGTCCACTACCTTATCTTCGATCGCGCAATGCGCTGAAACTCATTTTGGATCTCGAGCCGAACTTCGGCCGTCTGCAGGCTCCAGCCGGTGTTGGCTTACCAGTGCTAAGCAAGTAAAGCTACGCCTCTCTCCCCCACCCATCTAACGAATCATGATATTAATTGTCTAAATCAACCTCAACCGTCACCTTTTGATCATCAAGTGGAATAATTTCAAGTTGTAAAACACCCGGAAATACCCCTACCATACTTTCATAACCCCTCGATTTACTATCTGGATTTCTCCGTTTTCCCCCCACCCCCGCTTTTTCTCCGGTACTTTGGTCAATTTTCCTTTTAAAGCATATCTAGACCGCTCTGATCCATTTTTCACCTTGTACTTTCTTTATTAAGTTTTGATAGCTTTGGATTTTGTTTTCTCTATTGGGGAGGCTGTGATACTTTTTAAATCCTTGCAACTGGGCCTCGAATTCCATATTGCCAGAGGAGAAACGGAACCAACCAATTTTTGCTTTCCAATTTCTTCTGTCTCATGAAATATTCTAGCTTGTTTTACTTGTTACTTCTTTTCTCTATTTCTCTTCGACAGCATAGAAGATAAAAAGGATAGATCCAGAGGAAATTATAGATTTTGACTAACCGGTTGCAAAGAAGCTATCCTTCTCAACAAGCTCGGTACTAGCACATAAGCTTTCTGCCAATGGCTATATTAGCAGAAGTATCCAAGAACCACACCGTAGAGAAATAAAACGCATAACTGATCTAGCAGCTCAACTAGCAAGATGCGTTACATCTACTCATTATTTCATGAAAAGGGACCAATTTCCGGGCGAAATTCCTTCCAATGCTTTAAGAAATGCCGTGATAGCCCCCGTACCTAAAACGCTGTGGAACGTTGATCGTCTAGAGCTTTTTGTCGGAAGCCTGGGTTTCTTATTATTCCCATTTGATCGCTGCCTTCTCCGCTCCTTGATTTTGTCCCCTCTTCGTAACCTCTCCCTGCTTGCCTCGCTGCTTGATGAATCGGAGTACTGATCGTCCACAAAAGAAACACGGGGTCTAGAACGATAAGCACGGGCGTCGCGGGTGGGTGGAGCAAGGTGAGATAGTGTTCCTGACTGGGGTTGACTCGGGTATAAGGGTACCTGAGATGTGTGGTAATACGAGCTGGCATGCTGGCGGGGGTATGGCCCAGGTGGATGGGTGAATGATCTATGAGGAGGGTTTATGGGATAGTTTGGGGAAAAATTGGGATATGGATATGGGGTAGCGGTTGGAGGGTAATAAGGCCAGCTAGGATGTTTTCCCGTTGGTTGATTTGCATTATATGGTATCTTCCATGTATCCGTATTTGACGATGCATTAGGAGAAGAATCTCCGAAATTATGTACCGGTATCTTGTACGTATCACGATTGTCAAAAGGTCCAGTCCTAGACCTTTGGGGAAGGAATGTTTGCGGTCTGGAGTTGCCCTGCTCCTCCACATTAAGATTAGGACGAGTATGAGCCGTGGTATAACTGGCATTTCTCTGTAAGCTGGGGCACCCTTTAGTACTGCTATCACTCGCGGAAGAACCAGACTGTTCATGCTGAGAATTATGAGAAGATGAGGATGACGGATCGGTAACATTGTTTGGTAAGGCCTCATCATCTCCAGCCCCACTCTCCTCCGAATCTGTTTGAACAGTAGCCCAGTACTTGGAATATCCTTGTTGAAGGTCATCTGCATATACTTTGGCTCTTTGAGAAGGTGGCTCCAGGCCTTCCGAAGCCTTCACATTCGCGGACTTAGGAGTAAGAGGATCGCATGGTAACTCAAAGTAGTTATCATGATGTAGGCAAGAGCCTAGATTCCAGGAGACCTGTTGTCTCCGCACCCACAGCTGTAATAATGGGTCGATTGCCTCGGCAGATACCTGGACCATGTCTTTGGGTGTCTTTTTGATTTGCTGTAAACTGATGTCGACATCTTCAAAGGAAACAGCACGAAGCTTTCTGAAAGAATTACGTTGACTTGCAGGTAGTGATGGATCAAAAGCAGGGTTGACTATACAAGATATGCTCCCTTCTTCAGCCTCTCGACGAGCCAGATCGTAAAGTCTGTCTAATCTGTTCAAGGACCAGCATCGAATGATAAGCATGTTCTGAATTTCAGCGCGTTCTTGTTCAATTAAGGCTGTAGCAAGGCCCTGTTCCATATACCTAATCACAGAATCACAATAAGCAAGAGTGCAAAACAACAAAAAGCCGTAACCACCTCATTACCTCTTTGAAGCTAATAGTTTCCTTAAGTTTATTATTTGTCCTATAGCCATAAGGCTAAGATTGAGTGACTCCATGTAGGCGATGAGATATGTGACACGGTGTTTTTTGAAACAACGGAGAAAATGATCTCGTAAAGTCTCATTTTTGGATGCCCCGTTGTCACGAGCCTGAGCATTGCTCAGCATTGACTTGAGTTCGTCAAATACTGCAGCACTCTGATGCGAGATTTCCCTGATTGTGTCCGCAGCTTGTGTGGAGTATATGGGGTCAGGCTCCTGGAGGATTCGGCCCGCATGTTTCAAGGAAACAGCCAGAAGCGATATCCCCTTTGCAATGCTATGAGTTTCGATGCCGCCATTGAAGACCTCGCAGCTTACAGCGCTCAGAAACAGAGAAAGTTTAAAGCCGTCAGCGGCTCTTTCGAGAACTTCAATGCTATCTACTACAAGCTTAAAATTAGCTGTCTATCTAGATGCAATGAAATGACTTGTAACATTACCTCTTCGAGCCATGCGTCCTATCTAACTCAGTGATGAAGTTTTATATATTCGGTGGAGCAGTAATATCAGGCCGAACTGAGGCGGTAGAATTAGGAAGAAAGCCGAACACCACCACCTCCAATGATACAAACTGGGTATAGATATTGTAGTTTTGTTTACATTAATTGGCCGTAAGAGCAAGTTGGAGTCATGTTTCGCCAACCAACTTGCGTGATAGTTAAAAAGAAGATAGATAATTTTAGAGAAGCTCAGTGACCCGTAAAACCGAGACAAACGGCTGTGCCGCAAGTTCTCAGCCTCATTTCAGTTATATCCTTGCAGAAAAGCAATCGGAACAGGTATTATGATTTGAATAGGCTGGTCCACCACTGGCGAGGCGTTGTGCAGGCAATATACGAGGTATTATTGGGGCACACCAAGGGGAATAGGCCCTGGACGCCCTATACGGATACTCGGGTCATATGTGATAGATGCAGTGATTGATTGCATAGAAGGCCACCGCAAGTGATTGTCCCATCCCGCCACGGCCTTCCTCTCCCCTACTTGCTGCGAATTCTCACCAGGGCATCGTCAGATGATAGCCAACGAGGGGTGACTATCTTCTCGCCGCCCTGCCACGGCAGAGCTAGAGCGGCAGCGTGCATGCGTCCGCTGATGCCTCACGAATGCCGTGTTTTATGATTGGACATCAATCTGGGTAATTTATCGGGCCGCCTGTCCCGCCTAAAAGTGACTGTCGAAGTCATGGGTTGTGCAACATCCTTGGATGTATCTGGCGGCCAGGGAGGTTGTTGTTCCCGAATTCACGTGAGAGCATCGATTTGACGCCGGCCATGTTTAAAATCGAGCTTCAGGGGCTGCGTAGCTGCAAAAAAGAGAGGAGTGGTAGAAAGCGAGCTGGTGGCCTTGGAATATGGCATAAGGCATTCAGGTGGAAGTACGGAGTGTGATGGCTGAAAAATAACTACCAAGTTATGTGTTAAGCACTTGGTCGTTTTATCACGCCGAGAGAGATTGGGACAGCATGAAGGAGACCGACCTCACGCTTGACCCTTGATGGATGATAAATGTGTTTTCTTCGCATTACGAAACCCCATGTAACCTTTGCTGCAGAGTCAGCGATGGGTTGATGAAAGCATGCAGACTGCATCGCGAGGCGAGACGAGGAGGAGGGGAGTGATGTCGGTGTAACACGGCGAAGTCGAGTATATATATTTGCAGGAGGAAGCTGCAACGTCTTTGTTGCTTCATGGATACCCAATCCGAACAAGAACGACAGCCTGCACAGCCCTCTTCTTTCTCCTGCCCGCGTTACTTCTGCTTAGCCGTTCGGGAAGATCTAGGGCGGCTGCTGAGCCATAGAAGGTCACAAAATGTCTGATGAGGCGTCCTCATACGACGCCCTGATCATAGGGGCAGGCTTCTCTGGTATTTTTCTCCTATATCATCTCAGGAGGATTGGCCTCAAATGCAGAATATACGAGGCCGGCACTGGTCTAGGAGGAACCTGGCATTGGCACACTTATCCAGGTGCGGACTGATCTCCTTGTCTAGATTAGGAGCTCTTGAGGGAATACCCCTGACCTTGGTTGTGCCTTAGGCCTCAGAGTTGACTCCGAAGTCCCTGTTTACGAGTACTCTGCCCCAGAGCTGTGGTCTGGCTGGACGTGGACAGAAAAGTATCCTGATGGAGAGGAGATCCTTAGATATTTCGAGCATGTCGACCAGGTGTGGGACATTAAAAAGGATGTCGAGTTTGGCGTCAAAGTTGTTGGTGCTCAATTTAACATAGAGAACAATAACTGGGACGTGGAAAGTGAAGATGGACGCACTACACATTGCAGGTTCTTTCTTCTTGCTACCGGATTTTGCGCCAAACGATATGTTCCGGATTATAAAGGATTAGATTCCTTCAAAGGCATAATGTGCCACTCCGCCGACTGGCCTCGAGAGGGCGTAGATGCCAAGGGGAAGAGAACAGCAGTAATCGGAACTGGTGCCACGGGCGTCCAGTTAACCCAAGCACTAGCAAAGGAGTCTAGTAGCTTGGTTGTGTTCCAGAGGACTCCTAACCTAGCACTTCCTATGCGCCAGAGCAAGTTGTCCCGTGAAGAACAAGAAGACAAAAAAGCGAACTACGAAAATTTCTTTAAAAACCGAGAGACAACCTTTTCTGGAATGAGATATGATTTTTCTGGTAGAATGGCTACGGCGGAGTCTGACGATGAGCGAGAAGCACACTTCGAGACCCTATGGAAAAACGGTGGTTTCGAGTTCTGGGTAGGCACTTACTCAGATATCCTGTTTGACCCCAAGGCGAATCGTTACGCATACGATTTCTGGGCAAAAAAGACACGAGCGAGGGTAAGTGATACCAGAAAGAAAGATATAGTTGCGCCATTGGACCCACCACATGCATTTGGGACGAAACGACCGTCACTTGAGGAAGACTACTATGACATGTTCAACAGACCTAACGTTGATGTCGTGGACATTAGAAAAAATCCCATTGCTGAAATCAAACCAGACGGCATTCTTCTCAGTGACGGCACTTTCTACTCTCTGGATGTGATTGCTCTCGCTACGGGTTTTGACGCAGTGACCGGAAGTATGACAAATATGGGACTTCGTGATATTGATGGTAAACCTCTTAAAGAGGCCTGGAAAGATGGAGCAACGAGCTATCTCGGCATGTGTATCAAGGGCTACCCAAACATGTTTTACCTGTACGCCACCCATGGCCCAACCGCGTTTAGTAATGGGCCGTCCTCAATTGAGATCCAGGGACGTTGGATTGTGGAAGTGATCAAGAGAATACTTGAGAATGGTTGGAAGAACATACAGCCCACAAGCCGGGCGCAGGAAGAATGGAAAAACAAGATCAATGCAGTGTCAAATGCCACTCTTCTTCCACTGACTGATTCGTGGTACATGGGTGTGAACATCCCGGGCAAGAAGCGCGAGCAACTCAATTACGCTGGTGGCCTTAAGCAGTATGAATTAGAAGGCCAGAATGCATTGAAGACATGGGATGGGTTTGCGGTAGCTTGAGCTCCTGGGTCAGTCATTTATGTTTTCGGTGATTTACTATTCATTCGAGCCTTCATTCTACTGGCCTGTAGAGGTATTTTTAACCAAATAGCTACTTACGATAAGACTGATCCCTCCAAGTTCATACATATACTTAACTAATTCAATTGAATCTTGAGTATGTTCGAACTTGTAAATTGCTGCTTCGTCCTGTCAGGACGTGAGGCACGGAGCTGGCCCTCGTCTACGCAATATAGGGGCGGCGTGCACGTCAACTGCTTATAACCCAATGTATTAACATTCCCCTGACAAAACCGAGCCAGCACTCTACGGCCACTCGTGCGCAAAAGGAGCCGTGCACGTCGCTTTTGGAAATATAGTTAGTTAAGCGCCCGGGGCCCCACAAGGCGGAACTTTGACCGTTTCCCGTCGATCGCGGACGACGGGAGCGCAAAGAGCAACGCGTTGGCTGGTTTTGGGTTTGCTACCCGAGAGCTTAAATCACCGACGCTTCGATCAACATATAAGATCCAGCAATATTATGGAATTCGTAGTATTAATCAACTAAAAATAAGCTGGAATTCAGGACAAGTGATGTTTCTCCAGACTGATAACTGCGTGAATAACTAATCAAGAGGTGGGGGCCAGTTAACCGGCTAGCTAGTTAGCTGCCTAGCTAACTGTCACGATCCAGCTAGTTGACTGGCCATTGAATCCTCTGCCATCTAGTTCAGCCGGCCCAAAGAAACGGCTTGGACTATACTTGGTTGAGAGTTCTGGTATCGTATTTTCTCCTTTCACCCGCGGACTCTCTAGACCTTTCGTCCGCTTTAGCCTTTGCCACTGGAGGAACTTGTGAGCGGCGAAACACGCAATACCAGAGAAGGTTATATTTATGCGCTTGCCGCCGACATTTAAAAAAGATTTGGAGAGTTTACGCCGGTCTGGCTTCGTCCAGACTATATATCTGAGGCCCACGGGCCTCCACTACAACTGCCAACAATGCTCAGAATTCCCACTTCACTAGTGGTCCTCTGCCCTCCACCCCCCTTTTTTGAAATCTGATAAATTGTTCTCTTTACCACTCTCCCGAGGCATTCCCAGTTCTCGTTCATTGCCCCGAATATAGGTAGTTCAATACCACGATGTTTCTCTTTCAACAGACAAAACTTTTCAATAAGAAATTACCGGTGCTCGTTGCGGTGGGCAGCCTGGTATTCTTTACTGCGCTTCTATTTACCCTCCATCGACCCGGCTACTGGAGAAACTCCCGGATTGCTGGCCCTTATACTCGACAAAAGGACAATGACATTCTGAATAATGTTTTCAATTCAACTCTCGGAGTATGTTGGTGTATAGTCATTGTAGCTCAGGTTTTTAATATGCGACCTTTTTGCTAACTCAATTCTCAATTTTGCGCATAGTTTGAGCGAATATATGTTGTTAATCTCCCCTCACGGACTGACCGGCGTGATGCCCTTGTGTTGATGGCTGCTGTCAGCGACATCAAACTCCACTGGGTTGACGGTATTATGGGGGATACCGTCGTGGATAAGGCCTTACCACCGCCCGCAACACACAAGTTCAAGTCTGCAAATATTGGGAGCTGGAGGGGTCATCTTAATGCCCTTCAAGAGTATAGTCCACCCCGTCAAATGCACAGCTTTGATATTTGAGATATCTAGGTGCTAATTCAGCTAACCTAGTATTGTGGAAAACAATATAAATTCCGCTCTGATACTTGAGGATGATGCAGATTGGGATATACGCATCAAACCACAGCTTAGGGACTTCGCACTTGCCTCTAGGGCTCTGGTCCAGCCTCTTTCAGGGGCAGAGCATCTTGCATATGCGGACCCAACTTTCCCCGACCCTAGAAAGTCTTCAGGAGCGCTGAAAGATATCCTTGTAAGCAACGATACTATCCCGCCTGTGAATTCTCCGTATGGAGATAATTGGGATATACTGTGGCTCGGCCATTGTGGAGTAAATTTTCCAGACGCAGCTCTTCGGGAGGTTGGAAAGGATATACCCAAGGGTCGAGTTATCCAAAAGAATGACTCCACGGTCCCCGAACAGAAGTATCTAGTGCTCGCCCCGGGAAATGAAGAGTTTAAAACACTATTTCCACCACATACAAGGGTGGTCCACCATGCAATGACGCCCGTTTGCTCCCTTGTATACGGCGTTTCCCAGAAATCAGCACGGAGACTCCTATATGAATTTGGCGTGAAGAAATTTAATGCCCCTTATGATCTTATGCTCCGGGATGCATGCGAGGGCATCCAAGGCCGTATCAGAAATACGTGTTTGACAGTGCAGCCGCAACTATTCAACCATCATCGTCCGGCAGGAAATGTTAGCCATTACAGCGACATCTCAGAGCATAAAGGTGAGATGATCGAACAGGCCTCTACTCAAATGATCCGATGGAGCACGAGTTTGAATCTCCCAAAACTTATCTCGGGCGATACAAACTATGATGACCAGTTTCCGGACAAAAACTAGGTCATCTATAGGAAAGACGCATCAGAAGGGTCTTGGGCAGAGCGGGGCATATAATGCTATATGACATAAGTTAACACTCTATTTTGGTTTAAACGGCGTTTTGGATATATATAAAGGGAGCATACAATAATCCGAATTACATATTGAAAGATGACCTTTACCTGGGTTGAGGATTGATAAACACTAGCGAAACCTGGAATATGACACATGAACGCCATTTCAGTGATATGTGTCGACATGGCTTTGGTATCAAGTGATCACCAATTACAATTGGAGGATGGCTCTGCAAACTTGGTATCTCTTTTCTTTGACAAGCATTCGGGCGTATAGACGGATTACTGAGCACGTCTATAGCTGTCTCGCGTTGGGTTGAGCAGAACAGGCTGCCGTCCAGCATTTCCTGATGTCTTCCTTCTGCCAACAACCCAGCAGCAGCAGCAGCAGCCGCTGTCACCTCGGGATTGATCAGCAGCCAGACAAGATAGTCAGGCCGTGTCATGCGCAGAGCAGACGTGGAACAGTCTATCGAGGGCCAAAAAGCGAGGATGTTCGGTTGTTGTGAACATCAGCAGTTCAGTGCCGCAGTGACAATCCAACTTCACTGTCCATGTCACAGATGCCGCGACTGTGTGCCCTAACATCACTATATCAGGCCGCATACAGAGAAGGGAGAAAGGATACAGGTGCCAGATGTCATCTATCGGGCAGTCAGTCTCAACCAGCCGCGTATCACCAGCAACAGGTCCTTCTTCGAGGCCGAAAACCTCGTACACAGAGCACGACGTGGCAGCCGGTTTCCTCATCACAGGGCCATCAAGCTGATAATTGTTGGCATAATGGGCCAGAGGAAAGATGTTCGCAGCCGGTAAAGCACCCAGCGACGGAAGATGAAACCACGGGAGAAAGCAGCTATGGACGGGATGTTGTGTGCACCTCACTGTCGCTGGCTCCTTCATCGGCAACTCGTCAACGACACCAGATTGGACTTCAAATGAGAACCTTCATCTCTCGCACGACGCAACGGATCAACCATCACAGACCTCTATAACCGGCTCGCCAGAGAGGGGTATCTGACCCGCAAGGTTCAAGGACTAACTAGTTATCTTATCGATGTGGTGGAATTCACTTTATCACTGTGATATTGGACCTTTTTACGATGACAGTGGCTGCAGGACGGGCGGGATACAGTTACCATCCTCGCTTGGAATATCTGGACAAACATCTTGGAAGCCCTCGCAGAAGGCTTGATCCTCTCTCCCAGCCCTCGAGCCAGCCAATCAAAGGTACACGCAAGCATTGTTGGGTTGGTGTGCAGCGTGCCCATCACATCATCCTGCTACTTAGCTGCATATGCAGGCGATGGCACCAGAAACCTGCCGTCGTAATTGGCCGTGGCCGCACAAGGACCCCCCCGGAATCCTCCCTTCCCTGCTTGTGTGATAGCAAGAGGCATCTGCAGTCGAATGACCAGGGCGTATCAACCGCCGGCTCGCACACCGACTGCATACAGCTGCATATGGGCGAGCCCAGCGGCGGCGCGTCCATAAATAGGACCGGGGGTCCCGCACTCGTCACCCTCTTGTTTCGAGATTACTCGCTCTTTTATTGTTGTGCCCCTTGCTTTGCGACTGTTTGTGTTTCACTTCTTGCCCCTTACAAAAAAAAGCCGGTCTTTTTTTTATTCAGTCCCTTTTTTAGCCTTCGGTTGTTTCAACAAACGCTCACCCGTCGTTTTATCCCTTCCCCCAACCCCCTAAAATACTAAATATATACACCATACAACACCCTTTTGGCTGGGCCAACATACATCTTTGCCGTTTACGCAAATTCTACCTAATCTGCTTCTTCGTTATTGTCTGTTGAGTCGACATTAATATCCGACGAAATCGCCCATCTCAGATCTTCCCGACCTGAGCGTCACCCAACTATTTCTCGGCCATATTCGAGTCTCTGATCGCCTTCACTTGATTGATCTTTCATAACCAAGCAAATAAAAATCCACTTTTTTTTTTTTTTAAAAAAAAAAAAAAAAATTTAAACAATACCTGCTAAAGCACGTTCTGTCCGTCATCATGTTCTCAGCAGCTCGTGCCGCCAAACCAAAGCTTTCTTTGAGCATCTCCGCTGCCACCAGCAACACGGCCTCTCTCTCCCTCAAATCCCCAGCCGCCCTCTCCATACCCAGAACGCCACTGTCACCACGGAGTCCAGCTGCATACAACACCACTCAAAGCTCTAGATTCACCCAGCCATGCTACTCGACTTACAGCAACTCATGCAACGCCAAAAGCATCCTCAAAAAGACACAGTCGTCGTCGAGTGGTGTTGCCGACAAGAGAACAAGATTTAACACCGAACCAGAGGTCCGCTACCTTACACCAATAGAGAACCACGATGAATACTATGGTAGCAGCAGTTCTGCCATGTCCAGGGAAGATAGACGAGAGAGACGGTGGGCCCGTGCCACCGCTGGCTACTCTTGAATGAGACTTGCCCCTTTCGCTCATTCTCTGTCCCTTCCAGCCTTATCCCGACTAGTTCCTTGAGCCGTCTATCAGATTTCGATAGTCAAAGGCTCCGCAACGTCATGACAACATACTGACCGATCATTACTTGACAATGCTACTCTATCTCCCTGTCTCCCTCATTCTAATCATTACGGAGGCATGATCGGTTCACATACGCTCCAACCCTGGCGATATGGGCGCCCTCTGGAATCTCTAATTTCTTTCTCTTTGGCCTTCTTATAGCAAGCATGCATGGCATTGGGATGCTTTTGCCGGTTCGAAAGCGTAATAGCACAGGATGGCTACTTTTTTTGATGGATTAATGTCCTTTATGAGGTTATGATTGTGTCCTGTGTTGCCTATGGCATCAGCGGGTTTGTTCTCGGAATGGAAAATAACGTACTAATTTATGATCAGACAAGTCCTTATTATTCTGTCGTTTAGTTACTAAAAATCCAATGAGGCTTAGTTACCATATACGTTCATTTTCAGAATTAGTCTCACCTCACATTCGTTGCGTCAGTAATTGGGTAACTATACATAAGCAAACACTCCTTTTTCAAAGCTTCCTATAGCATCAACTGTTATTAGAATGCTTAGAGTCCGCCCTATCAAATACTTCTATATAGGCAAAAAACTTATCATAAAAAGGGGTATAACTTTACAGGTAAAGCCCGTGCTTGTTATCGATAACCTAAACTGGTTTACTAACAAGATGACTATTTCTTGAGGTTAAATTCAACGTCAAAAAGTTTGACATGCAAGTTCAGATCTTGAAACGAGCAGATGCAACTGGTCATGACAACAACGTCGTTGTTTCTCAATGTCACTTTATCGTCGGCCGGTAGTAAAATCACTGCATTGCCTAGAAAGACAAGCTGCATTTGTTTCTTCACAGCGAAGACAGCTATTGACGTTAGCTATAGAAACATCATGGTAGCATGCACCCGATATACACCAATTCCCCAACTGAGATTTAAAATTAAAAATATCTGAAGGCATCATAGCTAATTCTCATGTTTTTGGGTTGCAGCGACGATACCTCTGTTGCCATTGTTGAAAAACATGGCCCCCAAACCGAAGGCACCTCGTGCCGCCGAACATCCAGGCCAAATGCAACGCTTCACTTCCTCCAAAATATCACCGCTGATAGCCGGGAATATCGCGGCATTCATCCAGTTGTATCACTAGAATCGCATCAGGCTAACTTGGCAGACCTTGTGGATAGAGCATTCTCCCATTTACCATCCCCTACTGGGTCTATTTTGGAGAAAGCTGGAGAGTCCAACCCCTATGTTTCCCGGACTATCCAACTGTCATCTACGAGCGACGGGATAGGGCCTGGCTTTACCAAGCTTAAGCCGGATTTCATATCTGTTACCCGTGGACCTGGGATGCGCTCTAATCTATCCGTAGGTTTAGAGTTAGCGAAAGGACTCTCTGTCGCCTGGCAAGTCCCCATTGTTGGTGTGCATCATATGCAGGCTCACCTGCTCACGCCGAGACTAGCGAATGCTCTTGATATAACACCTGGGTCCGAGAATGGTAACATATGTACTCTAAAGCCGGAGTTCCCGTTCATATCAGCCCTTGTATCCGGTGGACATAGCTTTCTCGCGTATTCCAAGTCACTCACAAACCATGAAACACTAGCCTCGACTGTCGATGTGGCAATAGGAGATGTCCTGGATAAATTTGCCCGTATGGCATTACCGTCATCCTACATCAACCAAAGCAAGACAACAATGTATGGCAAGCAATTGGAAGCGTACGCATTTCCAAACGGTCGTGCCGATTATATTGACTACAAGCCTCCAGCAACGAAGGGGCAAGAGGCAAGGCCTATAACAAACGCCCAGTATGGCTGGTCTCTAACCCTACCATACGCCGGCTTGAAAACAATGGCTTTTACATTCGCTGGATTATTCTCCGCCGCCCAAAGAGAGGTTGAGACCATGGCGAATGGGAAATCTGTACAACGAAAGAAGTCAAAAGAAGAAATGAACAACCTCAACCTTGATTTTCTCCCGGAGGAAGGCCGGATTGCGTTTTGCAGGGATTTTATGCGTGTTTGTTTCGAACACCTTGCTTCTCGCATTGTCCTAGCTTTAGAAAATGTATCATCTGGTGCTACCAATAGCATTGACATGGAAAAGTTGGGACCAGGGCCTCCTGTCAAAACTGTTGTTGTTAGCGGTGGTGTTGCCGCGAACCAGTATCTGCGACATATCCTGCGCTCCTTTTTGGATATACGAGGGTTCTCTGACGTCAATATTATCGCACCTCCCTTATATCTCTGCACTGATAATGCAGCAATGATTGGTTGGGCTGGCATTGAGATGTTTGAGGCAGGCTGGAGGACGTCCAGGAAGTCACAAGCTATTCGAAAATGGAACCTAGACCCTGCAGCTACAGATGGCGGTATACTTGGCCCCGAGGGTTGGGAACAGGTTACGAGATAAGACTCGCAGTAGTTTCGTTATCGTTTTGTTGGACCCATGTCTTTGGAGAATATCTCCATATTAATGAATTATCTACTGCACACAGCATACTTCCCCAACTCCAAAAATGTCCCAGAATACTTTCGAACTTTTGGTAAAGGAGTTACTGACCGCGGGGACTATAGGAAATGGGAAAAACGTTCCTGCCATACCAAAGAAAAAAGCATATAGAATAGGACCAAAAGAGTACACGAAATATGCAAGCAAGCGCCGATAGTTTCACATGATTCCGTTTAACCCATCCATTCATCCAAAAGAAACCATCGAATCGATGAGATGACGCCAGTTTTAATGAGATATAAGAGGGTATTGGCCGTCAAAAAGGGAACCATGATACCAAAATTCCAGAATGCAAGAATCAGTCCTCCCCTGACATTAATACACAAGACACTGAGCCATGCAATAAGATGAGAAAACGAACGCCATGCAGCAAATCAGATACCCTCCCTTAGAATGGGTACAGTAACAAAATAAATGTGGAGGATGAATAATGCTTCGCGAGGGGATGGATTAGTGTAAGAGGTTGTGTATGCTCAGCTTTTCGTCGTCGTGGCTATCATGGCTGCCACGACGACTGGCTGGTTCCGAAGCGCCCTGCACTAGGTCACGCTGTCCCAGCGATGGGAGAAGGGTCCTTGCACCCCGCTCAAGGCACTATGTATGCCTTGCATTAGCCTCATTTCCAACTCGAGACGGTATTTGCGGGAAAAAGGGATGAATGGGGGCTAGCGGCAGAGTAAAAAGCCAAGTAGACAGAGAACTGAACTTGGCTCAGGGGACTAACTAGCTCGTCTTGACGTACCAATTTTTCCACATCCCTCCAGTCCTCACCCACAGCCTCGGCCAAGGGCTGCCATGTCTTTTCCCGCAATTGCATGTAGTAGCTGGCGACTTTGTCAACTCGTTCGTCATTCCAGTCCGAGCCACGACGTTTGGCAATCAGTCGCTCATAGCGCTTGCGACATGCATTTGACGACTTTGTGGGAAAGTTATCCCGTTGAATCTGGTTCCAGCCATGGGCTTGGGCTCGTGCGGCTAGCAAAATCTCATCATCCTGCGCGGACCAAGGGGTTGATGCACTCGGAAGGTGGCCGGGGTTTCCAGGGCTCGGAGGTGGGTGGATAGGCAGCCTCTCAGGCATTGATAGCCGCTGTGTATACGAGAGGGGAGGGGGCATAGAGTATACAGGGGTTGCTGTTCTCTGCCAAGGATTTGCTGCCTGGGGTGCCATGGTAGAGGAGGCACCCGTCGCCATTCGGCTGGTATTCATAGCTGCCGGTATGACTGGTTTAGGCTCAGGCTTAGGTTCTGGGACTGATGGAGAGGCTGCTATTCCTACTCTGGTTTGAGAGGATAGCGCTCGCCTTCGCTTCGGAGAAGGATATGGACCAGATTTTTTCAATGATCGCGCTGGGGTCTGTTTCGGCATCTCAGTCTTCCGTTTTTCCTCAGATAAAAGGAGCTCCCCGGGGGCTGCAAAGAAAGAGAGAGGGCTGTTCGCACTTTTTATGTGGGTAGAAAAATCACTCCGTGCGCCGTCAAGGAAGTTATGCAAGGAATATGGGGATGGGAAGAGGAGAAGCCAGGAGGTGATGGCAACGGAGGGCTAGAGGGAGTTCACTGGTGTAAAAGGAGTTCACAAGTGAGGATTGGTGGTGTGTATTAGAGGGGCAAGAACAGTAGGAATAGGCATAAGCATGTGGAAACAGTCGTGAATCAAAACAAAATATTATATTGAATATGGGTAGAGAACGGCAATTAACTTGGGGAGGCGTATTAGAGTGGGTTGTATAGAGTGAAGGGTTTCAGTAGGTGTCACGCTGGCCAGCCTTGCGAGGAATTGACCTACTGTTGCCTGTATTAGCCTAGGGCGTGTGTTGATCAGGAGGCTGCGCCGGCGCAGGGAAAAATATAGAAAATATAGATGTAGACTTATATGGAGAAAGGGCAATGGACAAGGAGTGAAGCTGTCAAACCACTCAGAAAAAGAGCGTGGTGGTCTGCCAATTTGCCTAACTTTGATATGAGGTTGAGCAGGAGAACTGGTAGAAGAAGAGAAGAAGAAAGTTTGGTTCTTATATGGAAGCGGTGGATCGTCACTTGGATTTTGTACTCCAGTACCACGGTGCGCGCATGAGGCTTGTCCACGGCCAAAAGAGGGCTCTGCTCCTGCGGCCTGAGCCTGGGCCAAACACACCTGGCGCTTCGACGATGGCACGGAGAGGGGGGCAAACTGAAAAACAAATAAAGCCAATAGTGCGTTTGACGATGCTGAATTGTGCACTAGGCTGGAGTATATATGTGTCATGGGTTTCCGGAATCGCGCAAATCTGCAATGCTCACTGGTCACTGGCCGGGGGGCCGGGGGGGTATCGAGTATTATGAGCACTGGTCAGACGCATTATTAGCACATAGGCGGCTCTCTGCGAGGACCCATATTGTCATACCTGGTGAAAACGACAAAACGAGCGGGTCTGCAGTTATGGGTCGGACCCTGGTCGATTCTGAAGCAGATCTTGAGTTGGGTCGTACCCCAATATGCCAACGGGCTGCAGCTCTTGCCACGGTGCTCCCCTGACCCAGTTAGGACAACATCATCTCTCAGGCGTCTTTCTGAGAGGAGAAGCGCATAGTAATACGCAGCATGAGGGATGCATTAGCTGCCTGGCCTGACAGGGTGGTGCTAATTTTGGAAGAGGACTGGCGTTTAGGGTTCGCTGTGGTCAGACCGAGTACGAGATATGCTGCATCTCGCAGAGACAGCCTGCTGAACAGGTGTCTTTCCGGGGTTGCCATTGACCAAGGAGGCATTCCAACAGAGATCAGCGCTGGCGGTTAACTCGTTAGTTAGCTAGTCAAGTTAGTCCGTCGAGTGATTGGATCAACAGTTGGTTTGTTGACTGTCTCTTCAGGCCGTGAAGACCACAGAGGTAACTAAATCCCCGTGCCTAATAAGTACGATAGATCCCTTTCGGTAGTTACACCCCCTGCGGCCCTGGAAGGAGACTGAATCACCGTAACAGAGGGAGATACCTGCGAGACTGGCCGGACCCTCAGGCCTGGTTGATACTAAAGTTGGCGGACGGCCCGCTCCCTGGAATAGCGACCAATTGCACCGGTGGTTAGCCGCCAACCCACTCGGGCCGCATAAGCCAAGGATACACACAGCTCGTACTGACGGTACTTGTAATTGCCACTCTGGGAGTTGGCTATCCGCTGTGCAGCCCATGGGATCCTGCCAGGCAGCCGGCTCCTCATACATCCAACGCTGTATTGTTGCGCAGGCAGTCCGTGTTTTCTTTTTCATGGGTGGGCAAGGGGGCCACCGGGTGATGAAGGATACCCCCTTCTCTTCTCTCTTTGCCCCCCCTCCCCTAACTCGTTTGCATACCGCCGTTCTCTCGTTGACGTGTACATGGCGTACTGGAACCGGCCGCCGAAACGTCCTGGCTATATGACGGGAATCCCAAGATATAGCGCGCCTATATTTCGAGATGGGGACTCGGCGCGGAGTAGAGCCCAAACCAACATCTACTGCCACTATTAATAGGCGCACGGAGTAAGGCTGTTGCTATTGGCTCTCTATGCCCTGGCACGGCGCACCGTTATTTTTGTGTCAGCTACCTGTCATGCTGGGTCCGTGATTCGAGAAATGTCAGAACCAGAGACTGAGGGGCGGGCCAGGGTGCCATAGAGGACAGAGAGGGCTCCTGTGAGGCCGCCTGCCCCTGATGAAACTGGTCATACTACTTCATATGTATGCATATATGTCCCTTTTTCCGCTTTTAGTGTCGTGGCACCTTATGCTGTACATTGACTCGTGCAAGGAGGCATTGGATTGGCTTGGTGAGCGATCTCTAGCCGCCGGTCTGGTGCTAAAACGTCGAATAAATCATGCATCAGAGAAATGCCCGGGATCGTACAGCCCGTGTTATCGTCGTAGGCATTCGACAAGTAGGAGAAAGGGTTGTCATGCACCCTCAAACTGGTCTTTTTGGTCATGACAGCCCGATTAGTAAAGGGGCCATGTCAGTCTATCTTCTGAACAAACACTTGCGGTAGCACCCGAAGAAGACAAAATGTACTAATCACAAGTCGGAGAGGAGTGAGCCTTAAATATACGCATGTAGACAGAGACAGACGTGCCAGTATCTTAGAAGGCGATAAGTGAAGATATCAACCAAAGAACAGGTGTATGGGGCCAGATCCAGCAAACATGTTTCTCGATGCTCTTCCTGTATCAGGACTTTATCTGCAGGAAAGACCGTTCTTTTCGTACATGAGAAGCTGAAACTACAGTTCCCAAGAATAGCACGACATGAAACAGATTACTATTCTCAGCCCTGGCTTGAAGAAATGATCTACGGAATTCATGCAGAAATGTACGCAAAACTGTCAAGTGTAAATAAGAGATAAAAGAAATGATGCCATTCGTTCTATCTCTAGCGAGGAAGAGCGGACTAAAAATGCTACTCATTCAGTCCAGTCACGTCGATGGAGCCTCTCTATTTTCCGAGAGATGCCCCCCTTCAACAGAAGATTATGGTTGCTAGTTTGTGCAGGTTATCTAGTTCTGCCAGATCCTTTAAGCGGTATTAACCGCCCTGGACATTGGATTGCTGGAGCACAGATATTTGCTTTCGCAGCTCAAGGAAGAAATCTTTGCCGTTCGCCATAGAATTTGCTAGATCCCCTGTCAATTTCGGGTGTTTCTATAGACATGCGGATGCCGGAGTAATGGAAAGTCTGGGAGGCATACGCTTTGAACCCCAAGGTCCACTGGGTCGAACTGGATTGCCATCTTTGCCTGTTGGCCTATATATCACTGGCTGGGGTTCTTCAAAGCAAGCATCCACCACCAATAATTAGCTATACGGAGGAAAGTTTCGGTATATGGGCTGTGGGGAGCGTGGCTTCGACATACCGCCCTGTCCTCCCTTCTTGTAATCTGAGATAAAGCACCTGTGATTAGCACAAGCCGGGCTCGGTTTCGAGGGCGAATCCCACACAAAGTATGCCCGTACCTTTTCTCAGCGCATCCTTCAGTTCAACAGAGTTAAAACTTCGAACAGGAATGTGCGCTTCACGCGAGGGGCCGCTCGGAGGACCTGTCCACGTCGCAGTCGCAGTCATGTTGTTCATTTGGTTCCGATGGCCGTGGCTGCCGCTCTGACGATCTCGATATCCTCCACTATGGTGCCGCTGGCCCTGGGGACGGCCATGGTCATACCCACGGCCACCTCGCCATCTACTAGCTCACGTCAGGATAACCATAAAAAAAGGACTCCCTTCCCCAGAAAAAGGGGAAAAAGAAAAATTCCCACGTACATACCTGTCATCGCCCGCACCGCTCATGCTGCTACCAACCACGCAGAAAACACTCTTGCACTTCGCCCTTCGAAGGAGAAATCAAAAGTCGAGAAACAAGGCTGAACCAGCTTCCCCCTTTTCGCGCTTCACAGCGAGAAAGGAAAACGAAGAGGTTGAAGCTGTTTTTATGTTTCCGCATCGGGGAAAAGTCGCGCTTGTTTCCGGCGGCCAAAAAGCTTGGCATGTGCTTTACCTAAACAAGCTAGCGCGCGCCTACTCCAACCCAAAAAAGGAAAAAGAGCGAAAAAGCCGCGACAACCTCTTGGTGACGGCGTTTGAGGATAGCCGACGTTTTGACGACCTTGAAGACAACGCTGCTCTGCCGGGAGGGGATTTTCCTCCTTTTCTTTTTGTTTCGCATGGAGTTGGTTAATTTGACTGCATTGATGGACCATGATACTGCTCGTTAGGCCGCAGTGAAGCAACCCAGACGAAGAAAACAACTATTGGAAGCACGGAGACACGAAGGGAGACCCTCAGAGAAGTGAACCAGCTCGCCTCTACAATTCGATCTAATAAAGTTATTACAGCAGACAAGAGGGGGAAGGCAGCGAAGAGATGGCGTCGTCTACCGCCAACGTGCAGCGGAAGACGTCTGCAGCCCGGGCACCCAAGCCACGACCCAAAACAGCGCAGAAGGGGGCTCGAAACACGACAGTACAAGCTCCAGGAGAACCACCACGAAAGAAGCTAAAATATGTTCCTGGGGGTCCTGGAGGAGGTGGACGGTATATCGAGGTGGATGATATAGATCCGCCACCGCGAGCATCCTCGCAGATGCGAAATAAAACTAGCACTCCCCGGACTCGACCTGCTCGCGACTCCCACGCCTCTTCACGCCTTCACCCCGCAACTCCCTCTTCCTCGCGTTCGAGTCGACCGAGAACCCAGGCCCGGAGGTATAGCTCTGCTGCAGCTGCAGTATTGGCAGTAACCCAGAGTGAAGGATACATGCCTCGTGAGGAACGCGGTTGGGAAGAGTTTCACCCTGACCTTGATATTGACGCCCAGATTGCCGTATTTAGCTCAAAAGAAGTGGACGGACTGGTGAACGACGAGAATTCGTCCTCAAATGGAGCAAACGGGAATGGATTTGGCGCTAATGAGGATGGTAGCAGTACACCTAGTGGATGTCGAGGACCAAGTTTGTCCCCGTCCAAACGTCGCCTTGATAAACCGAAAAAGGCAGATGATACACCGGAGCAATCTAAAGGATTATTGCTACCAACGTCAAATCCGCGGGAAAAGCTTACGCTACCAAAGCCATCTTGGGTCGTCAAAGATCCGTTTCTACCGTTTGAACAGAAGGGAGTTGGACAGCAAAATTACGTGGACCGTACCATGGCGAGCGTAGGCTACCAGGAAAGCGACATTTTCGTTCGACACGAGAGAAGAATGATCCGGCTATCTGAAGGTGTAACAGAGGGTGATCTTGACCTAGAGCCGCCCCCGCCCACTGAGGGGGACGCTGGCCCACCTCTCCCAAACGCTGACGTGGGTAGGGTGGAGTACGACATGGACGAGCAGGATGCCAGATGGCTGGAAGAATATAACACGCAGCGAAAACTTGAAGAATTCGAGCCGATCAAACCTGCAATATTTGAAATTACCATGACTAAAATAGAGAAGGAATGGCATGCTCTAGAACGACGAATACCTAAACCTAACCCCAAACCACCCCAGACACAACGGCCGCGTTCCAGTTCTGCTGTTGCAGTGAACGGTGAGAATCCTGGCTCAGGAGAGGAACAAGATAGCAAATGCGCTGTATGTGACGACGGGGATTGTGAGAACGCTAATGCCATCGTCTTTTGTGATGGCTGTGACCTGGCTGTCCACCAAGAGTGTTATGGAGTGCCTTATATTCCTGAAGGCCAGTGGCTTTGCCGCAAATGTCAGCTCATTGGTCGAGGGTCTCCATCTTGTATCTTCTGCCCTAACACTGAAGGTGCATTTAAACAGACAAATACTGCTAAATGGTCACATCTTCTCTGTGCAGTTTGGATTCCAGAAGTCTCGATAGGAAACCCGTCTTTAATGGAGCCAGTGATTGAAATTGAAAAGGTGCCGAGAAGCCGTTGGAAACTTACTTGCTACATCTGCCGCCAGAAAATGGGAGCTTGCATACAGTGCAGTAACAAGAACTGCTTTGTAGCTTTCCACCCGACTTGTGGAAGGCGAGCCCATCTATATTTGAGGATGAAACTGACACCAGGTGCTCCCGCAATAAAGGACTCTAACGAACTCAAAGCCTATTGTGATAAGCATGTTCCACCGGACTGGCAAGCAGATCATAATACCTCTTCCGCCACCGCTCAAGCTCTGGAATACTACCGCACTGCCATGCAAGGGAAAAAATGGGGAGATAGCCAAGCCGCAGCCCTTGCCATGGGGCCGGAAACCCAAGAAGGCACGGACCCCAACGACTGCAATGCTAGACCCATAACGCCTCGATTAACGTTAACTGTTGGCGGTAACAATAAGCGAAAGCGTGCAAATCCGAATCCAAGAACGATTTGGAAATTACCCTCTGGGGCACCCGTTATCCCACGAGTTGTGCTCGACAATGTTGTGGCTTCTTTGGCCCGTTTCACAGTTCGTCAAAGAAAGCAGTATGCAGAGGATGCATGCAAGTACTGGACTCTAAAACGAGAAGCAAGGCGAGGTGCTGCATTGTTGAAGCGACTGCAACTTCAACTGGAAACATTCTCATCTATGGAAATGACCAGAAGGAATTTCTCTGGAATGGGCCGTGCGGGATCTGTACGTCTAGAACGCCGGATAGACTTTGCGGAAAGACTATATCACGACGTTGACAAGGTTCGGATGTTATGTGGCGAGGTAAAGAAGCGTGAAAAGGAAAAACTCAAGGATGCAGAAACCCTTCAAAGTATTATTGATATAGTTTACTTCCCTATACCCCCAATGCTGTGGCCGGTATTTGAGAAAGCCCATACGTAAGTTCCCAGAGTTTCAGGAGTCACTGCCTTTGGTGTTTCGTCTACTAATATTGTCCTTTTTTGCACATTCACAGATTGGATGGAAAGGGCGTATTCTTTGTTGGCTTTCAGACAATCCGGTCAAAGCTAGAAGAACGGTACTATACTTCCGTTTCTGAATTTTCTCGTGACTTAGCACAAGTTTTCACTTCGGGGATTGGAGTTGCCTCTGTTGGAGATACGGCAGAGTTACAAATGCAGATCAGCGGTCGTGCTCCTGAGCTCAGCCACGAACAACGGGAGAAACGGAAACTTGCTAAGCGAATAATCAAATCTGTTCAACCTCTACTTGAGGATGCTTTGAAGAAAGAAAGCGAGCTTAATGGCAAGCCTTATGAGAATGAGCTCAAGGGCCTTGACCTTATTCTTGAAAACAGCGTTGGCTCTCGTAGAGGATCTATCAACACCTCCTCTGGAGAAGCAGTCAACGCTGCCTTACTTACTGACATGGCAACGCAGCCGTTACCAAACGGAACTGAGATTGAAATGCAAGAGAGTGGCCTTAACCTGACTCCCGAATCTAAAAGCGAGGTTGCCGAAAAGGTACCCGAGCAGGTCAACAATGAGAAGTCCGCTCCAGAGACGAATGACGACCTTGCAGGTGATGAGGATCAAGACGCAGAAATGATGGATGCTCCAGAACTCCAGGAGAACAGCACTGAGGTGGTGACATCACACTCAGAAAAACGAGAGTCAGAAAGTGGCCCTAACGAAAGTGAACCGCCCCAATTGCCTGTGGAGAAGGCGGGAGAGCGATCCACACCCCTCCTTCAACCTCAGATTCCACGAGACAAAGCAACGCCTCCTACACCGCCTGCCAGCTTTTCAGAAGGCCAGCAGCTTCTACCCCTAGCCCAAGGTGGCATCCAGTGGTACATGCAACCTTTCGACCCTATTGGTACCACCATTCATGAAGAACGTTGGACCGGTAGGGAGCTGGTTCGGGGCATGAGTGAGGAACTTAGTGACATTGGAGACGAGGAACTTCGTGACTTGGCCGGAGACGATGATGGCGTCGAAGATGCGCCGGCTGAGCCTCCAGGGCAAGATATCGCATCTACTACGGCCCCGGAAGAGGAACCCTCCAAGTCCAAATCGCAGAAGAGTCGAAAGCGATGGCGAGGATTTAGATAACCCTTTGTTACTTGTTGTATTCTCTTTGTACCTCTCCGGAGATATCACCTCATGTCTTCACCCTTCTTCTATGCCTTTACATTCCCCTCACTAGAAAGATAATATGTAGTTAATAATGAAACGAAACCAGGATATCAGGATAATCAACGCTACCACGCTCATCTTCTCTCCTCATCTTCGGCTTACTTTTTTTTATATTGACAACGAAAAAGAGTTGCGGGAGCCAAGGACAGCATGCGCTAGTCCAGATCGAGCGATAGCTAAAAGGATCGTCTTCCTGCCCAGGTGAAGCTTTCATCAGCTTTTTGCTCTTCTCCAGACATCAAAAGGCCAACCTCCTCGATCTTTAGCCTCTCGTCTCGCACCTCTCCCTCTCTTTCACGTTGCCTGGTGCTGCAGCCTGTACTGTTTCTTCTGCTTTCTCGTGCGTTGGTGCTTGCAGCAGGCGGACCGGACGAAAGACTCAGTGGCAACTCCCCAGAGCCGCTTTTTTTTCTACACTGGATTATCGACCAACCATGGCCGACATGGAGTATGAAAATGAGAACGATCGGTTCGAAGGTAATGCTGGCCAGCACTCTCTACTTCTGCTACTGAGGCATTAACCTGTCGTTTGATTGTGAAAAAAAAAAGATCCGCAATACCGCCGACGTAGCGCGTCACCCCAGGATGCTAATCGCGCTACCCGGAACCGCAGCGCTTCTCCCAACGGCCGAACTGACCGGTAAGAAATCCATATTACCGAACTACCCTTTGATGTGCTAGTAGTGAAAGAAGAACGAAAGACAAGAGATGAAAACGAATAGTGTCTAACTTTAAATAGTGCTGAAGGAACGGATACTCGGATGAAGAATGCGGATGATGAAGAGGGAGCTCAAAACACAGGCACCAACCTGTTTGTAACTGGGATCCATCCCCGTCTGAGTGAAGCAGACGTGACTCGTCTTTTTGAGAAATATGGTGAGGTGGAAAACTGCTCTATCATGCTTGATCCTCACACCAAGGAGTCGCGTGGATTCGGGTTTGTGAACATGGCTACTCCTGACCAGGCAGAAGCGGCCAGAGAGGGTCTACAGGGCGAGGTAATCGACGGACGTACCTTGAGCATCGAAAAGGCTCGCCGTAGTCGCCCTAGAACCCCTACGCCCGGAAAGTACTTTGGGCCTCCCAAGCGAGGTATGGTCTCACCCTGAGTTTCTACAATTGATAAGAGAGACTTGCTAAAAACAAAAATGAATACCAGAACTTCGTGGACACAGTCGAGGCGGTCGTTATGATCGCTATGACGATCGTCGCGGTGGGTATGGTGGCCATGGACGCCGATACGATGACGGCTATCGCAGTTCTCGCTACGATTCCTACAGTGACCGTGGCAGTCGTCGCGATTATCGTGATGACTATGGTCACAGAGGCGTCGACCGCTATGCCACGTCCGGCCGTGATGACAGGTACGGTGACCGCGGTGACCGAGGCGACCGTGACCGTGATCGTGGGGATCGCCGAGGAGACCGTCGAGGCGGTGGCTACTATGACCGAGATGATGCTCGCGCGCAGTCTGCTTCTGGGGGTTATTCAGACGCCCCTTCCCATCGTGAGTCTTATGAGCCTTCTGGCAGTCGAGCTTACGATAACCGTTGGGACGATAGAACCGGCCCCCGCTAGGTAGGTATCCAATGCAGGCCCCCAACGACAATGGCATTTGAGTTTTGGTTCGACCCAAGCCCTGCTCGACCTCTTTACTAGGCTTGCTTTCCTGGATCTCGGTTCCCATCCCGTTTTTATCTTTGCTTCTCTTTTCCTTCTCTGGTTGTCATCCTCTGATTCTACTACTGTATTCCACACATGGTTTCTTGTCGGCATCTTCAGCTGGGATCGGTACTTAATCGGTAACGGCGGCGCTTCTATGTTTGTTACACATCACCTTTCGCTCCCACACTTCTAGCATGGCTTCGACAAAATTTCGAATAGCTGGCTCGCGGCTCACGTCTGAGGTTGAATGTCTGTTTGGCATGTCACCCGTCCGCTATAAACCAGCTGTTTCTTTGCATGTCGCTAAATATCACGAAGCATGGCGGCGGAACACAGGATATCTAAACGTTGTAATACCTTCGGCTTTTTCTCTGGTGGGCAGCAAAATCTTCCGCACCATATCTTCCCTGTTGGCCCTCCCCCTTATCGGTAGTCAGCTTGTTTCGCCGTATTGCATCTCTTCACACAAATTGAGGGTAACGACTCCTACACATTTGGCCCGGGAGTGATCTCACGCTTTCAAAGAACAAAAAACAAAAAAACAAAACACAAAACACTATCAAAACAGTTCTCAAATTTCTACAACGCTACAAAATCCTCCAGCTGGAAACCCCGCAGCGATTCGTCTTTATCGCTCTTTGCCGGTACTCGTAGTCGAAACATAGCTTCTAAGAGCTAAAGTCACTTCCTCATCTCTCTGAAGCCCTGAACCCCGTTATATTTGGCTACATGGGGGGAGGGAAAGGATTGCCCATATCCTTGTCCCTCTGCTGTGACACACTACTCCCAGGCCATGATCTTCACTTTGCCTTTGACGACGCCATCTACATATACCCATCCTCCAGATACGAAGACCCAACTGTAACATATCTCTGGTAAGTGCTTCTTTACCAGATTGCTATCACTGACGTCGAGTTTGTTAGTGTTCGTCTGTTGAAGCAGATAACAAGTTCACTTGAATGCATAGGGAAAGCGTATAATGATTGTCAATTAACTGGACAGGGGTACTCTTTCGACAGCTCAGCGTTGCTGATTTATACATATTTGCAATTGAGTCCATGCTATTACTACAGAAGTCTAAACCTTGCTAGGTTTGGCTGGCTATGAGTGATATTGCATATGATAAATTTTAAAGCATTCAGGTGCCGCAGCAGTATGCCATACTTCAATTCACTTCGTCTGGCATCTATAGCTTTCAATACATAGCCTGTAGAGCCCCGTAAAGCCCAAATGATATCCTTCGAGGAAGTCCGAAAAACATGGGTATTCATTTAGCACACTACTGTCTAGCGTGTAAATTTCCTCATTTTGGATCGGGTTCATGGCCATATCAGGCATTCGACTGTTCTCCGGCAGTCTCTCCGATTTCGCTGCTCTTTTGTATGAGATATTCCCCTAGCACCTGCAGTGGGTTTGTAGGCCTAAGGTTTTTTTAGAAAGCGATATATTAGCACTCCAAAGAAACTGATATAAAACAGAAGAATAAATACCCACTGATCCTTGGCCACCATCTTCATCCCTTCCAGAAGATATGGTACAATCTTTTCGTTCATATATATTCGTGCAGGCGCACCCGTAGCCTGGGATTGAGGGGTAGCATTGGCAACCCCGGCACCAGTAGCACCATTCCCCCGATAGGTACCTCTTGTTTCATAGCCACCGCTCATGATGATGTCCCGGTTATCGTAGTGTTTATTGGCTGAAGTCTCGTTGTCTACAGACGGAGTGACGCCACGGGAGGCGGTTGAAGCTGTAGCCGGCGGAGGAGGAGGGAAACTGGCACCAAGTTTAGGGGTGGAGTGCAATTCTAGAGGCTGATAGGCAATGCGCAACAAGTCAGTTCTCTTTTCTTATAGAGGGTATGTCTGTTGTGGGATTTATTCTGGTAGGAAGGGTATATATTCTTAGTTGTAAGGCTATAAGGTCACGGCCCAAACTAGCGGGTATTACTCATGGGGCCTCATCACATACAGTGTTGTCCTGCATGGCAGCTGTCCTGTCTTGCGGTGTTTCTCCATTGTTCTGTCTCTCTGCATTCTGGAATCCGGCGCCAGAAGGAAGCGAGGTGCCTGCCGGCAGCTGTGACGGGGCATCGGCCATGAAGAACTGGTGCTATCTAAGATCCCATAACCCTCCAATAACTATATACCAGGTCAACTGGGTGCCGTAGTTGGGCAGGTTTCTTCTCTCTTCCCTCAGCCTGCAGCTTGAGATATCAAATTGTCTCTTCTGCTGCGATTTTGGCGAGTTTGTTGCTGGAGCTTCGGATGCAAACAAGGCAAACATACGCAAAAGAAGGCTAAAGTGGTTTTGCGGCGCATCATGTGATCTCGCGTTGCCAACGCGTTTTCTCGACAGGCTGAAAAAAAGCGGCGTTTGGGACGGTTTTGTCACTTTCGCAGCGCCAGCCTGTGTTTGAGATGTGCGGAATGCGGTGATATCTGGTCCATTTGCTGGCTATGCACCCGAGTATGCAGGGCTTACTCGAATTACTTTCGTCTTGAAGACTCCCTTCCTCTCTTTTTCTCTTTGACAATGGCAGGACCCCGGCCCTCACAACCTAAGCGACGACGCACCTCATCCAGCCCAGACGACTCCTCATCGAGCAAACGATCAGGTACTGCTATTGAGAAGGATACACCTGCTATATATGGATCTGCGGCGATGGATGAAAGGTCAGGAATATCTACTGAGGAGCTCGGGCGCGATGCTCTACACTTTGACCAGGAAGCTGGCTTGGAGGAGTCCCTCCCTTCATTGAAAACAGGCGAAGATGCTGTTGAGGAATATGAGCAGTGGAAGGCTTCGCTAGATAACGAATCTCAGCTGGAAGGGACGCAGCAGTGGCTCACCCAAAGAAGATGGGTCAAAGGGGAGAGCTCCATCTATGTTGACGCTTTCAACTACGCTCTCAACAGCGTTCTTCAAGATGAGAGCCATCTCTTTAATGAAGCAGAGCAGGCCGTGTTTGATTACTGGAAAGGGCTCTCTTATGAGTCTCAATACCTGTTCGTTTCTTATACCCCTCGGTTTATCAAGACTCTATTGTTACACATCAAGAACGTCCTTTTGACAAGTAACCTATAGTTATGTTCGACTATTTCTACGCAAAACATCTGCTTGGCATCGCATCAATAAGCTGGGCTATTATCAAGACATTGCAGATATGCCAAGGGCAGTTGCCGATCTTCGAAAGACGAGAAAGTTGCCTGCATCAACTGATGACCATACACCAAGTTTTGGAGGCCTAGACTCCCCTTCAGTCACTACAATTGGTGGTGAGTTTCGGTTCGCAGACGATATGAACGAAATACAGTCAATCGAAGAAGCTTCCTCACTGCTCCTTCTTGACGAATTGAAATGTTTCGCAAGAGACCTGAAGGTTTCAGGAAAGAATAAGAAAGATCTTATCAATGGTTTATGTGATGCAAGCGCCAGTCAAACAGGGCTAAGTTGGCTTTCTTCAGCCAATCAAAAAGTGGCCGAAAACAATAAAGCTGCATCAATAGCATCACATTTCAGCAACCTCGAAACTGGAAAAAGAGGTGTTATGCTCCGACAGAAGATCTTTGACCGCACAGGTGACTGCATACGACTTTCCAGCGGCCCATTGAAACTTTTTGAACGCGTTCACCTGCTATTCTATCGTTCGACCCAATGGTCAGAAAAATCCCTTACCGCCATAATACTCGCAAAGATATCCAGAAGGCATTACCCTGATTATATTGTCAGTCGCTCGAATTCCATATTTCCATCACGTTCCGAATTGCTTGAATTTGAAGCCGCCATTCGCATCCAGTTTGATCTGGATAAGGAGATGGAATCCAACAGCTCCACAACTGACGAGAAGATACAATCTGTAAAGCAATATGCAGGAGCTGTCTATCCCCGGTGGAAGATACTCTTACAGAGAGAACAATCCAAAGAAGAGCGGTTATACGATTACGGAGAAGGTGCATATCTTCGTCGCTTTTCTCCTGCATGGGTGTACACCAGGATCATACATAAGAATTTGTGGTCTCTTGGACGGCTTAAGGACTATAAACAGGAGCACAAGACCTTAAAAGAGCTGCTGGATCAGCGCCTCTTCCACACTGCGAGGCGTGGAACTTGGTACCAGCGCAAGGCACTCCTTGAGGAGCATTACATGTGGGCAATCGATTCTACCGATACCCGGCCTGAGGATACTCGAAAGAGGGATTGGAGACAACAAGCACTCCACACTTGCGAAGACGGACTTCAAGACCCAGAATGTCATATAATTTTTCACTATGGTCTACAGAAACGGATAACGAAACTGGAGAAATCCTTGAAAATAGCGAAAAGGGAGCAGCATGATTTTTCCCATGTCATGCTCGCGAAACCACAAGAACGGACGGTGGAAGGGATCCGGATTGAAAAAGAGCTTCCAGCAAAGCAACCTAATGCGAAAATTACGGGAAATAGCAACGCAAAAAACAAAGGCCGTCCGACTGTCTGGGTTGATGAACGGGAAGGAGGAGGTGAATGTCGGGTTGAAAGCATGTGTCTGAGCTGGTATAGGGATCATGGATGGAAAGGCTTCCATTGCGAAAGTGGAATCCTTCGAACACTTGTGAGTAGTACCTAAGAAGCTCCCTGGCTTACTTCAAATTAGCTGATGGCTAACATTTTCTGATCAGTTTGGATACCTATTCTATGATGTTATATTTACCTATATCCCTAATGTCTTCCAGACTCCGTTCCAGACCTGCCCCTTGGATTTACATACGGATTCCTTTTACTCGTCTCGACTATCTGATATTAATTCAAGGCTAGCTGAGATATCAAACGGGGAAGCACAAAGGCTCATCAAGGAAGTATATATACGTGAAGCAGCAAAGCAAACTTGTGCTATAGGTATTGACTGGTCCTTTGAGGTCAATGATCTCCTCGAGATTGCTCAATGTTTTAAAGGCGAAGCATTGGCAACTATATGCAAAGTGATGGCGCAAGAGTATCAGCAACGTGGCGGAGGAATTCCAGATCTTTTCCTCTGGAGGATGGATACCAAGGAGGTGATGTTTTCGGAGGTCAAGTCAGAGAGTGACCGTTTAAGTGATACGCAACGCCTTTGGATTCACGTTCTTACAGGGGCAGGTGTCAAAGTCGAGCTATGTAACGCGGTGGCACGCGAGGTCAGGCGTATATAAACGGTGTCGAATAGATTTTTAGATAAACCGCCCTATATATATATGCCTATAATTGATACATCCAATGAGTTGATGTCACCGTCGCCCATTATAGTAATAACATAAGTGAGACTGTTTCAATATTCGTAATTGCTAGTAGCACATGCAAGAGAAAGCCAGTCAGGAAGAACTCAATTAACTATGGGAATAATATTTAAGCTCTTGCTATTGTAGAATGAGCTGCTTAGCTCCATACAAACTCCAAGCATTTCTGCCGGGTAGTTTGTTGGAGGCGCCCTGTTCCTGGTGCAGACCGCGCTATTTTGATATTTTTTATTTTCTTAGTTCCATATTTGGTCCATTGAAGTTGTGAATGTGGTTGAAATTGCTTATGCGACCATGGTGCTGGCAGTGGCACTCTCGTATCTCCAGGTTGGTGGGAGGACACCAACAGACTTGTAGTAACGAGAGAGACGGTGGATACGGGACTCAATCAAAATAAGACGGAACTTGCTGTCCTTGTCCTTGCGGTTGCGCTCAAGGTGCTTGCGGACAGCAACGGCCTAAGAAGGGAGAGATTAGTTTCTAATAGTCAGGGGTACACTTTCAGAAGGAGGGGTAGGTTTACCTTTCTGATCAACATGTAAAGGTCCTCTGGGATTTCAGGGGCGAGGCCTATACAAGTTTACAAAAATCACTCTGTCAGCCCATCATGACCAAGCAGAGGCAGTGTCGAAAGAACATGGCCCCAGAGGAGCGCTGAAAACGTTCAATCATTCTATTATGTGAGGTGACTAAGCCTAGAGAATGTTCAACGATATCTCACGTTGAAACGCTCCTCTAAACGATCATATCACCTCCCGTATGAAGGGTATCTATGTGTATTCGTACCGTTGGACTTGAGGATGCGGAGGATCTTGTTTCCTATATAGGCGAAAATATATTAGTTTAAAGAAGTTGCTGGCGCAAAAGACACGGATATCAGACGGTCCAGGTCTCAACTCCAACCATGCACATACCAGTAACAACCTTGACTTGGGCAATGCCGTGGCTATCACGGAGGACAACACCGATCTGAGATGGAGTGGCACCCTTCTTGGCCATCTTGCAGATGTGGTCGACAACCTGATCCGGAGTGGTCTTCAACCAGGCGGGAGCGGTGCGAGAGTAGGGGATGGCAGAGGCAGAAATGCCCTTGCCCTTGCTGTGAAGACGACCCATATTGACGGTGTTGGAGGTGCTGGCGAAGAGCAAAAGTTAGTGGATGAGATGTGTCGATGTCGAGAAGTTCGTTCAAGTCGCAAAATCCAAGATTTATTTTTTTATTTTTTTTTTTTTTTGGTCGCGATCCGATGTGTGATCACGTGAACGGGTGTCGCTTAGATCGTATATTTAAAAATACCAAAATTACGAATATATAAATGTATATATTACAGGGATGATCCACGTGATCAAGATAGAGGTCGTCTCGAAGGTTTATATTATAGGTTCTCCATGAAAGATGTTGAACAACTCATAAGGAGAAAGTCAGGAGGCAGCCTGAGTATGACGTGTATCAAAGGAACAGGTCAACTATTTCGCTGTATGACAGCATACCAGCAGAGGCCCAATATGCCACCGATAGCAATGGCAATAGCAGGGGGCACTCTGAACCAAGCATTCTCAGCATAGGTTATAGCCGCCACGACAACCCAAAAGGGCTCCATTCCCAGGCTTTGACCCTGTGATGCATTGGCGCTCAGATAGCCGATCTCCCAGAGGCGATACACTGCGGTGAACACCAGGCCTACTGCAGCCGAGTTCATTCCTCTGAGACAGCTTGTTGTTAGTGGATATTTCCGCAAGACACTCCAGCAGCTTTGGAACCCCACGGCCAGAGCCATGCCAGGGATGTAGATTGCAACAAACGCCATTGCAGAGCCCAGAATAGTGGGAGAATGCATTGAGGCTACTGCAAGACCACCTAGATATACGGCAAAATTGAAATTCGGCCCAGGGAAGGCCTGGATAAGGGCTAGGCCGATGAGGAAGTCTCGTGGAGAGACCCAGCCAGGCCCGACAACATACTCACGAAGTAAAGGGATGACAACTGGGCCGCCGCCAAATATCACCGTTCCGGCAAGATACAAGTTGGAAAAGAGGTCAAGGTCGAGCATGGGCTTCTCCATACCTTCGCGCACAACCAATATCGCAACGAAACTTGCTATATAGTAACTTGTCCCTTAGTTCATGGTATTCAGGGATGCTAGGGCAATATTGAGAGCACAAACCAAAGAAGAGGACGATGATCAGGATACCCCATTTCATATGCAGAGAATGAGAGTGTGTGTCCATCGGCTGATTTGAATCCGAGCCCACGAGAGTACTAGGGCTATCAGGTATTATGGTTGAACTATCTGAACGTCGAAGCTGGGGGAGATCAACCTGGGGCTCTTGCGTGCTTCCGGCTAGAATGCGGCGCCGCTGAAGTGCTAAAGACTGATTAGGAAGGTTTAATTGGACCCCCACATGATCAATGCCCGCCTCAGCGTCACCCGAGGAATTCGAGCGCCTTTGACGAAGTTTATCTCTCAACTTTGTGATGTATGGTTGAGCGATCAGATCCCATACTGCGGTCGTGCAACCACCAATCAATATAAGGATCGGAAAATACCATATGGCTTGGTAGCACAGGCCAGCCGATCCGCCAAATATAACCAGTATTCTGGTTACTTTATCTTGAATAGACTTCTCCGCTAACTGAAGACTGGTTAGCCTTTCGATCCTCTTTTTCTCTTTGCTCTTTCTTCAATGTTGATGCCAGTGTTTACCTGTACTGCTGCGAGAGCAATGATACCAACGGTCGAAGCATTCAATCCCGAAAGGAAAGCATATACTATGGTCGGAAGGTTCTGGTCAAGTTTTGCAACTCCAAGAACGAGACCGAACATTCCAATAGCACCTGGAAGGCTATGATATACCCAAAACATATTAATATCATTCTGCATATACAAGAAAAAAAAAGGGGGGTGCGAATTGGAGAAACTAACGTCCATAGGAAGAAAGCGACCACTGCAGGGAGAAAGCCTGCATGTATCATTGTTATGCAGAAGAGCATCTTTGTACTCCCAGGCCCAGGAAGCGCCTGACTTATCGCAAAGAGCTCCTGGTACTATACAACAGCCCCTCCAGGTTAGCTCAGGTGAGTTGAAGTGAGATGTGACATATTCACACCGTTTGCTCATCAACCCATGGTACTCTCCTCCCGGCGTCTGATACGAATCGCCGGTGAAGAGTTCTAAAATGCACTGGTGGACCGCCGAAGGACGTGAAACCAAGGTCAAAAGTCCGTTGAATAACGTCGGCCATGCGACTCTGAAGCTTCCCCTTGTTCGGTTCATAAGCGGCCTGGCTGGACTCGGCGGGCCCCAGGCCACGCCTAAACATATCTATAAAACTGCTTACCGCCATGACAGCGGACTTGTGTGTTAATTTTTCGCAGGCAGTGGATAGCCAGATCACAGCTGCAGCTCAGGGTCTTCACGGGGAGAGGGGGAGACCTCCTTTTTTTCTGGGGAAGCCCGCAGCGTTTAAGTAGTCCAGCTGGCCTCATGTGTCGACGATATCGACCGAGTAAACGGCGAGCTAGTTCTCGAGCCCTGGAGCGACCAGGCCGGATCGCATCATCGTCATCTGGGGTATCACAGATCACCAGACTCGAACAGCGAATTACCCTCCTAGTCGCAATATTAAGGATGCCTCCAACACAGGGTCAAGCAAGCTTCTGCTGCAGCCACGGTCGATCAGTCACGTGATGGTTCCTTTGGGTGGCCGGATTTTTTTTGGTTTTTCTATTTTTTTTTTTTTTTTTTTTTTTTTTTTTTTTTTTTTCTTCGTCTTCTATCTTTTTCAACTTCAGGCCTTTGGTATTTTTCTTTCTCAACGATGGTCAAACGTTGCGATAATCGCTGTTCAGCTGTTTGCAAGCCGTGAAAGTGAGAGATGAATTATGATGAGAATAGGTAGGAACACGCGGTGATCGGTGCTGCAGTCCATGTAGCAGCCCAGTAAGAGAGGTATGTATCGTCTATTCTCTGGTTGCGCTGAAATCTTCCACACCGCACAAATTTTTTGTCCCTTGCTTCCATGATGATATCTCACTTTACTTTTTTTCTGGTACCTCTTATGTCAGAAGCCGTGCCTCTTCCGGTCCGGCTTCAATGATCTTAATGGACTTCTGATTCCTCACAACCGATCTCGATGTCTGCATCTCTCCTTATCAGTCGATACGCGTTGACTAACGAAGCTTTTTATGCTTAGGTTTAATTCCACTGTTGTCAAATGCAAGCGTGATAAGATACATACTCACGGACTATTAACACTACGGAGAACTCTCTCGTCGGTTCCTCCGTCGAAATATCTGATCATGATGGGCGTACGGGAATAACGTATGGTTGGGGATATGGCACGCGGAGGCCTGATATCTCTTTGGAAGGTGTTAACATTCCTTGCTAAGCCAGATGCATAGCAGTAATGCACAATTGCCCACATATCAGATATTTGTGGACTAATTAATTCATTTATACCCATTTTATTTTCATTCTTTTTTATAAATATGTTATATTTACTTTTCTTACCCCGTCTTTCGCCTGTAGCAACACTTTTTCGAAAAAAAGCAGATTCCAATTTGGCTATAATGTGATATATCGTTGATATATAGACGGAAAAGCTGTATCTGATAGCATTGGAAACGAGTTTTCGGTTGCTCCGGTCTCAACTTTCCCTTCGACCTTAAAATTACCTCCGTTCGTCCATGGCCCAGCCCGTTGCCAACGCTCCAGCTCCTACATGAGCCTGGATTGTGTGCATGACGTCGATTCTGGCGATCAAACGATAAACAGCCAAAAGTCGCAGAACAGGAACCGAGCTTTAATCTCTTCCTGGTGCTAGGCAGAGACAAGCGTATCATACTTGAGTAAAGGGCCTAATCTAAGGGAACTGTTGGCCAAGGTACTTCGGTAAAGATCCTTCTTTGCTATCTGCATTTTTTTTTTTTTTTTTACTCCGTACTCCGATTTATTACTGGAAATTGAATTGGAGATGCCCGGCTGGAGGGATCAAATTGCTTGCCGCGATGTCTCAAGAAGTGGAATTCTTAAGATACTTAATACCCCATATATACAAGAAATTTGCCATCATTTTATGAACCCCATATTGCTCAGACAGAGACAGAGAAAGAAAAATCTGTGCATGCCCACGATCAGGCAGGTCGATAGCTCCATAGCCTGCCTGTCTCACCTCGGAGATTTGTTCTATCGTGAGAGTCGTTCGATCCTGCTTTGCGCCTTTCAGCCTCGGAGGTTCGCGGGCGGCTCAGGCCTCCAGGTCAACCGCCGAACCTTGCAGCGTTGGTTCTTAGCAAGAGCGAGATAAGCCTATGCGAGTGTCTGGATCTTTGGGCACATTTCAAATGTATATATTTCTTTTTTCAAGGTAAGGCCTTCACCTTATCGTCATAGCGACCTACATACCGAAGAAAACTGGAGATTAGTAAATTATTCTTGCGTGTCCTCCTGGCCCCAGCTCCATATCCAGTTCGGCAGGGGAGGGAAGAAGAGACATGTTCGTATATCCGTCGCACAAGCCCTCCAACCACCCTCATAACAATGAACTCTTTGACCACTGGGTCGGGAGATATCGGCCTGGCGTGGGCTAGCAAATAAAACGGGTGAACCCCCTTCTCGGATCCCATAGCTGGCCGGATGGGCTGGATGGCTCGCTCGCTTCTCAAGATTTCCCCCCCAAGACAACCCTGTCCTGCCAACTGCGAGCACAGGTACGTCTACCTGGGGATGGCTGAAGGACCAGGGGAGAAACTTCGATTGCGTTATTTAAACGAGCTTTCGTGACTGCCCCCCTGGGGTTATCATATGTTTGCAGGAAGGTATCCTCCGTATGTAGCCAAGGGATAGATGTATGGATTCAAGGGTATGTAAGCAGTCTGTCAGGTTCCTGGCTGGGCGAGCTGGATGGGTGGATGAAGTGAGAGTGATTGACCAGCAGCGAAACGAGGATGTGCAGCGAATCATGATGGGACATCCATCAGTTCACCGCTGGCGGGCTGCATATGGCTGGACCGTCACCAACATGCACCATACATACATACAAACAACCGTCCTTGTTGTTTCTCCAGGGATCGGGTGGACGAGGCCCGTCAGCGTCGATGAGCCCTTGCTCCAGCGCTGTGCAGCTTGGCAGGCAACGCCGTGCATGAAGAGCGAGGGTGGGATGAATGTCAAGTATTCGCAAGAGAAAGACCATCGGCATCAGCCTGGCCCTTGTCTCAGCTGCTGGATCAGAATCTCGTTGTCGATATCTGCTCTGTGCATGATGCCTCCCCCCTAAAACGAGCAGTCACAACAACCGCAACGGGAATATGAACGTGAAGATTAGAGTAAAGCAGCCTTCTTTTTTTTTTTTTTTTTTCTTTCTTTTCTGCTTTTTGTGTAAGTTTTTCTCGCCGTTCGGACATATGGGACCAATGGCTCTGCTCGTCAACAGAATTGGTGAAGTCGCGTGTTTCATTGGCCACGATGATCCCGGCGGCCGATGCAAGTCATGGCTGGTTTGGCCGCGCACGAGACGAGACGAGGTGAAGACGACGATGGCATGACGGTGACGATACATTGACCTGGGCGTCTGGGTTGTCTGATTCGTGTGCCGTCTGAGCATCCTCCTCGCATCCAGCAGCAGCATCCGCCTGTATGGGCCCATAGCAAGGCGTGGAGTATATGGCTATATGCACAGGGGGCGGAAGGCGGGAGGCAAGAGAAAGAGGAGCAGCAGCAGCAGCAGCAGCAGCAGCAGCAGCGAGTCTCTTGGACGCTGTGGGCTTGCGGGACGCCCAGGAAAGGGGAGAATTGAAGACGTTCTAGAAGTTGGACATACTTGAAGCTGAGCCTGAGGTAGAGAAAGTAGTTAGGCGGACGGGGACAGCAGGCAATCTATCTGTGGCACTCCGTCCGATTCATTACACCGTGCAGGAAACAAAAATATTGCATCTTTGACCGCCAGCGTTGTCGACCCTAAGCGAGGCCGTAGGGGGGTTGACCAGCATCCAGCAAGTACATCGATGATAGACCGAACAGCACCCGCCGATGATGCCTCCTCTCTATCTTGTGCTGTAAGTACGCATCAACGGCCGGCTTCTGCGCTGGACAGACAGGAGTATGCGGTTACTCCGTGCATCCCTGCCTGGCGGAGAGGGAGGGCCTTGTTGGCCAAAAGGCCCAGCGAATCTCACCTTATGTGAGACGCCAGAGGGAGTTCTCGTCTCCCTCGACCGCAGGCATGGTAAGTTCCGACCAGCTAAGATGCCTGCTCCCTGTCCCTGTCGCATCTTAGTTGCTTGGTGGTCCCTCTGGCGTCGAACATCCATGCATATAGAGGGCGGTTTAATAGTTAACTAACTGTATACTTACTTATACTATAACTTACTGGAGAAAAGTACAACACGCGGCCTGCACATAATAAGATATGCATAGACGCAGCCGTGCACTTCCCTATGCAGCAGGAGATCCGCCGGAAGGGAGCAGAGTCGACGAGATGCTGCACCGTATTCGCATGGTGATATCAGGACGCGGGATGCCTTGTACGTTGTAGCAAGACTGACTGACTGAGTAGCCCCTGACCAGCCGCAACGATGCCTCAACCAACACTTCAGGGCGAAAAGCAGAGCTATAGTTATGCGTTGGGAAAGGCATCTGCCGAATAAATAGTCTCGAGTCTAGCAGGGCTTTATTTCTTCTTTTCCCAGCAACGTGGAAAGTTGATAGTAGTTAGCTGACTCGAGCTCGTTGGCCTCCATAACTATTAGCCCGGCCTCCTGCCTGTCTATCTGCCTGTCCAGCCTGATGTTACACACTCTTGACGCCCTTTTGCTTCTTTTTCCTCTCTCTTGCATTTCCCTCTTGCAGCGTGGCGAAATTACCCATAATTATTGAGCTTGTTTCTTCCATTTCTCCCCGTCCTTTTGGCTGACGGAAATGGCGGGCCTGTGGAAAGACAAGAGAAAAAAAGCGCCCC